GGATCGACTCTCCACAGACCTGAACTGTAATGTAGCATAGTGCTGTGACCTGGTTGTCTCCCTTATGATAGATTTAACTTTAATTTATACTGTGAAACAATCTGGACAAGCAATAACATTTCCATGGAGACAAAAAGGTGTTGGACCATCTAATAGAAATGTTACGCTGTGCAACTTTAATATGACTTTAAATTAGGATATGACTCTATAAAACTCTTAAATACCTCAAAAACAAGTGTTCAATCTGTGAGCAGAGTCGCCTCTCCCCAGATCTGACTTCTGCAATCTGCTCGTCTCTATGGAGATAGTAAAGAGATATGTTCTCCACGGGAACGAACAGGTGGTGGACACTCCTCTAGAAAAGTTACAACACGTGCACCTTTAACATAAATGGTGAGTTCAGATTAATTAAAAATGTTTACAATTAAACAAATAATGTGGAAATGGGCATTTTGTTTATTTTGAAATAAGAATTGTGTCCATCAAAAAACTACATAAACCAGTGAAAATCTACATTCATGTATCGTACTCAAAACACTGAAGACTGAAGAATTCTGAACTCAAATCATTTCAGCCTTTCTGCAGTTTTTGCAGTGCACACTGAGCTGCCTCACTCTGTCCTGTATCTGAAACCTTAAGTGCAGAGACGTGCCAAGAGAAAGAAAACAAACCTGTGGACAGAGGAGCGCTAAAGTCCAGGCATTTGGGACGCACCCTTTTGGCCCTGGACCAAATGCCCGTGGTCACTCTGGTTTGGTCAGTCTGGATCAGGAGGAGCAGGCACTTTGAAGAGGCAGAGTTAGGACAGAGCTGGGACAGAACTGACTCATGGGAGAATTTCCCAGTGTTCAGTCTCTTCACATGAAACTCTCTTTGTGTAACCTGTTACAGTTACTCTGCTGGCCTAGTTATCTGTCTAACTCTTTAGAATAACTGCACTTTTACTACAGCCTTCATGAAGTATGGACAAAAACATCATTCTTAATGAAACAATAAAGCCACAATATGTAACTTTTTTGCCAATAAAAAATAGATTACTACACTGAAAAGCATTGAAAACGTACTATGAGCCGCTTGAATCTCCACAAACCTGACTCTGCTTGTTTCCATGGAAATGCTGTTCCTTTGGTGATAATATTCTACTGTATTACATAAAACAAACCTACTGAACTTTCTATTTCAGTGGGATCATGCATCATCATCATGAGAAGTACCACCTCCAAAAGTTCCATATAATAATTTGTAATAATTCACCTAATTCAGATTTTCCAACCCACGGTTGAACCCATGGATTGACTGATTGATAAACGGTCTAGTCCAGGATAAATACCAGAAGACTGTGTTCTGATTGTGGCTACCCTAATCTTGAAATGAATCTTTAGAGACACACTCGTGCTGTGTTTCAGGCAACTGAGGTTGGTTATTTCCCAAATGAACATTACAAGTTTCTGAATGATTTCATTCATTTCATGCCAACATTTTGAGGACTATTTCACATTCTAAAAATATATTTTTTTAAACTGTGATTTGGCAACCGTCCTAATTTTGCATCATTCTAAAACCCATGGATACCAAATAAAACAAAAGTAAACAATCGAGTCAAACTGAAGCATTACTAAATCCTCAGTACGCACTAACAGAGAGACCAGTTTTACGCTCAGATCTAAAGTCCAGGAGATGTCCGTCCCCCTGCACCATCCTGAGGACATCCAGAGCCTTATGCAGAAGAGCATATACCTCACGATGTTGCTCAAAGCAGAGGTGGAGCGCATGCAGCTGGACAGACAGCATATCCAAGGAATCGTTCGGACATATGATGACGCCATCACAGCAAGGCAGAGCTTAGCTTTTGCCCAGCAAAGACAGCTACAGCAGGTCAGGGCAGTTTAGTTTATTCAAACAGAGATAAAATAATATCAAAGACGGAACAATGAACACAACATAACATCATCGTAAGCAGGTGATCTTTTTACATGCGACACCTGAAGAAAACCAGTACTGAAAATCACAGTCTATCGTCTAAAGAAATAAGTCTTCATTGTGGCATCGTAAACGGTATTGAGTATCGAGTCTGTTCCTTAGTATCAAAATCCAGTTTGAAATTTTAGTATCATAACAACGCTGAAATGCATGTTCAAAAAGGTACTGGCGCCACCTAGTGCCTCCACCCAATTTCATTTCTCTCCAGCGACTAGGTCAGGAATCGAAATACACTAGACGGTTTGCAAGAACCCCAGAAGTTGTAGGCCGCGCACTGGCCGGGGGAACTGCGATAACAGACTGAATACACTATCCTCCTTTGGACTTCCTTTGTCAAAAACAAACTTTGTATTTTTATTGCACCTTTAATTCACATGTTCATCTCGCAGAAACGGCAATGATCGTTGACAGACGTGTTCACTCTCAGCTTTGTTTGCTGTTGTGCCGACAATTACTTGGACACACTGAGCGTTCCGGCGCATTACATACGTCACGACCAAATAGCAGCGATTGGTTAAATTTAAAAAAGTACCCGCTTACTGTTGAGCGAACGAATTCTAATGCTGCGAGGTCAGACGGTTTCCACGAAGTGAAACGGGCTGATGAATCAGGTATAATATTTAGTCCATTTTGTTTTTTTTCTTGAGTTTTAAGACTTTTTCGAAAGCGTTTACTACTGTAGGCACTGCGTCACCATGGTAACTGCTGAACATTCCACTACAGAGACACATGTAGAACATCCTTCACTGCAAAGTATCACTATATTACTTTTTTTTTTTTTGCAGAATCAGAATCAGGGGAGTTACGTTACAAATCCCTGGTATGACTGGGCGCAGCGTGAAGAGAAACTCACGTTAGAGCTGAGGGCCAACAGAGAGAGATGCCGCTCCCTTCAGTTTGGGATAGAACAGACGATTTCAGACGCTCAGGCCAGACTGCGGAAAGAGATGATACAACTCCACCGACATATGTTCCATCTGCTTCATAAAAGAAAATATAAACGTTATTAATATTTTGGATAATAAACTTACATGACGATATTGTTTTTAATTAAGATTGAGTTTTTTTCTGGTGAATTCCTTTGTCGATGTTTATCACAGACATCACGATTATGGTCTTCCCTTTCATGTTGATTGTGAATATTCCATATATGGTCCTGTCCCATCAGAGACTTCCTGTGGGCGTGTCCTTATCTCCTTCAGGATAATTACACAGGAGCGTCCGGACTCTGGGGTCTGCGGCTCATTGGAATGTAAACAGTCCCAAACAGCAGAGGTGGAGAAAATGTTCAGTTACCTCAAAATACACGACATGTTTACTCCAAAAAGAAGAATACTGCAGAGTGAATGAAGTACAACATTTAAAAGTAAAGTGTTGGTTAGACTTTATAATAACTGCGGCTTAATTAGACTTAATAAAAGATGAAGAAAAGTTAATTGAAAATGAGCGAATTGCTTATTTTAAATTATTCGGGCTTAGTATCTACTAAAAAGTTTTGGTATTAATGAAGTAAGCCTGAATACTCTTGATTCTTAATAAACTGTGAATTAGGCTTTCTTCATCCTTTACAGCAAAAAGTGAAGTGTTAAAAGTGACTCTCACAGAATCAGTTTTAACATTTTCTCAGGGTTTATATGAGTTCAATCTGTTCTAGAGTTAATTTAACGTTTTTAGAAATGTTAATTAAGTAACACTGGACCAAAGTTCTGGTTTAACCCCAAAATCCAGAGTTATATTAACATTTTGAGAGTAAACAGATAACACTTTGTAGGGTTATCTTGATTTAGCTAAACAACACACAGAGGTGTTTTATTTTTACTCTTTATTTTAGTTTATTTAAGATGAAATTATGTACAAAACTGGTTCAAACTGGTCTTCTCTCACAGGATTTTGAAGTGGTGGGTGGGAGGTGCCAAATTAACAATTAAGGTAAGTTGAATTAACTTCAACTGAGTCAATAACCCCAACTCAAACTCTCATTTAACTTTCAAATAGTTAAAATAAAAATGTTTGTGTTAAAACAACTCTGAAATATTTTACTCTGAAATTTTAACCCTCCAGTTTTTGGTGTGTTTATTAAGTTTATTAAGTGTAGTTATTATAAAATGGTGTCAGAGAATAAAGAATAAAATAAGTGTAATAGTCAAACTTAATACTAACTTCATACTTACTACAGTGGATGGTGCATTAAGGTGAGCTGTGTGTTTCACTGACAGTCTAAGAATGCCTTGAATTGGGAGACACAAAGGCAAAGCTCTTGCCTCTCAGCAAGAAGGTCCTGGGTTTGATTCTGGGACGGGATCTTTGTGTGGAGTTTGCATATTCTCGATTTGCCTGCGTAGGTTTCCTCCAGTTTCCCCTAAAAACATGTACAGCAGGGTCCCCTGTGTGGCCAGGACTCCTATAAACTAATTCCTAATCTCCTGGTTAAATAAAGGTCAAATAAATGTATAAAATATTTTAAGATTATCCACATACTCTTAGCCGGATGCACTGATTTGAAACTGGTATTGGATGTATCAAGACTATTTATTGGTCGTATTTGGCCCAAAAATTCTCATATTTGAATTATTATTTACACAAAGTTGTTCTGTGGTTACATGAGGCATAAATAACAAATATTTAACATATTTGGATCGATTTAGATTTTTGTTTATTTTATTTAAAGGAAATAAATGTTGTTTTCAGCCTCTGAGCTGGTATCAGTGATAGGCAGATATTTAAAGCTGAAGTATCGAAATCTGTATCGGAACTGAAAAAGCTGGATTGAAGCATCGCTATTCATCAGTAATCGTATTTGAACATATCCATACTTATGATGGGTGAAGTGTCTTGCCCAAAGACACAATGGCAGTAAGTTCTGATTGGAGCTGGAATCAAACCTTTGAGTTTGTGTGAACCCACTTTACTAAAAAACACTTTAGCCTAACAGTACTGTCAGTATAAGAAATGTACTGAAATGATGCACAGAGTCATTGTTAATATTATTGATAATACACCACATAATAAAGAAGCAAGAGTCACTTTACTGCAAGCATATTTTAATACAAAAACAGAACAAAAATGTTTATAATTTTAGTTCTTTTTACTTTTACACAATTGAGTCGTAGTAACGCCCCCTCCCTCCCCTCGTCTTCACACTGAGATAAGCACAGCATCAAAAGGTGTAGGCTCCTCTGCCCAAAAATCCACCTCCAGACAAATAAATAAATAAAAATCACCTAAACAGATCTTCAATCGGTCACTTAATTCATTCTTCATCTCGTACATTGAGATAACAGACACATCTCCGGCCCCAACTTGACATTTGGGGCATTTGAAAAAGCCTAAAAAGAAGAAGTAAAGGGGGCGGGACATGAGGGAGGAAACCTGCTCTCATTGGTCCGCTCGGTCACGCCTCCTTGTCAATCATAAATGTAGTTTCTTGTCTACAGATTAAGGGCAAGTCCCCTTTGGTCATGATTTGGAAACCGAGCCATAGTAGCAAAAAGAACAAAAAAAATACAAGATGGTTAGCGACAATGAAGACAAAATGTACACACAAAACGCACACACTTTCTTGGTACAAAAGTTTTGAACCAGTAATACTCAATCTGCCGATGATATGATGTCAAAATAAATATACTCTTATTATTTATTTAAGCTAGATAAACAAAATCAGATATAAATTAACCACAAAAAAGACATTCGCAAATTAAAACGTTTGCATACAGTGACCTCTATTTTCTTGTAACATGTGTCAGACTTATCTTCGTCAATAGGCCAAAAGTGGACGAGGTTAGTGCATGCTGGTTTGGGTTAAACTGTCAGTTATTATGTGCTGTTAGAATAAAAATAGTCCTTTATTTCAATACCAGTTTGAAGTTGTTGTATTGACACACTCGCCTCGCGTTGAAATGCAAATCCTTGTCTCTTTTTTGGGAATACTTTTACGTCTCGTAGCCACCGGCCGGGATCGCTAAAATTGTTTCACCCCAAACTCAGGAAGCTGCTCAGTTGTTTCTGCTGAGGTCGACGCATTTCAGTTTGGAGGAAGTGGCATGGCAGTTGTTGCATATTTTCTGTATTTTTTTTAGCTCATCCTCGAGGCATCTGGGCTGGAAAAACCAAAATGTCTTCCTGAACAGTTTTTTTTTTTTTGTGGTTCCGCTCCTTTTAACGCCGCTCTGGCTGTCTAGAATCGGGACTAGTAACACAAAATAAGGCAGCATACGTCAATTCAGTGAGAAGAGGCAGGTCCTGTCTTAAAGGGAAAGTCACTGTGGACCGTCGCTCTTCGTTCTTGTGCATGGTTTTATTCGGAGGAAAGTCGAGACAGAAAGAGCGTGTTTTCCTGAATCCTTCCCTCCGTAGTGCTAAGATGCTCGTGATCATTTCTTGGTAGCGCTGGTAGTCTTGGGGCTGGGGGCCTTTTTGGAGATGGTGGGGATTTTGGATGGTTTGGCGCCCCCTCCTGGTCGCCGCGGGGTGTCGGAGGCGTCGGAGCAGACGGAGCGCGCGTCCTGGAGCTCGGAGGCGTCTGATGCGTCGCTGCCACGGCGGCTGCTCGCCCGGCTCCCCGCTCTGCTCCCGGCGCGACTCGTGGGACCACTGGTGGTAGAGCCCCCGCGCTTTGGGTCTGAGGGCAGAGACGAGAAGACAGACGTTAGAGTTATAACAAATATTTTATGATTAGATGGATGAATTAAGTGTTTTGCCCAATGACACAGCAGCAGAATACTAAAACTACTCCTACTAATAAGGCTGGATATCATTAAAAAGTTGCCGATACGATACATACCTCGATACAGTGAGTTTACGATTTGATATGATTTCAATACGATATATTTCAAATTAATTCAATACTGGTCGATAAAAAATAAAGGCTAAATCATGTCTGTGATACTAAAAGTCTTTGTTAAACCATTTCTTGTGCAAAGTTCATATGAAACACAAACATTTTAATCATCAATACGTTAAAAATGTTTCCTTCCTCTGTAGAAGCAACAAAACTGCAGCTGTAACAAAATAATTTAATAAAATATACCAAAAAAATACTAAAATACTATATATTGATACAGCAGCCCATGATATCGATACTGTATCATCACATTAAACAATACGATACATATCAATATTTCAATATTTTTACACACCCTACTTACTAATTTCAGAAAATTAATACCAGTGGGCGTGTTCTGCATGGATGTGTATGGCAGAATGTTCAGCAGTTACCGTGGTGACGCAATGCACACATCGGCAAATGTAGCCTCATAAGTTTATAGATTGTCTAAATACTCAAGAAAAAAATTTAAAATACTACAAATACTAATTTATCCAACAGATATTTGGGAACCTGCACAGCAAAAACTGGAGGGTTAAAATTTCTGAGTAAAATATTTGAGAGTTGTTTTTAACACAAAAAAGTGTAATTTTAACTATTTGAAATGGGGGTTCAAGTTGGGGTTATTTGCCACAGTTAATATGGTTGAAGTGAAATCAGCTCCTCCCACCATCACTTCAAACTGCTGTGACAGAAAACCAGTCTGAACCAGTTTTGTTCATGATTTCATCTTAAATTAACAAAAATAAAGTGTAAAAATAAAACACCTTTGTGTGTTGTCTAATGAAATCAGGATAACCCTACAAAGTATTATCCGTTTACTCTCAAAATGTTAATATAACTCTTGATTTTGGGGTTAAACTTCAGGGTTTACTTAATTAACATTTCCAAAAAATGTTAAATTCACTCTAGAACAGATTGGACTCATATGAAACCTGAGAAAATGTTAAAACTGATTCTGTGAGAGTCAATTTTAACACTTCACTTTTTGCTGTGTGTGATCAATACGAGTGATCACGGTCCAGGTTCGGTGTTTGATTTTCAACAAAAAAGGTGAGAAAAACTGAAAAACTTTGAGGGGGACTTGTTTAAGTTGTAGTTCTAAGTAAGTCAGTTCTTTATGGCCTGATTGTGTTAAAACAAAGCTCTTTTTTTTGGTAAATATTCTCTTTCTAGAAGCCTTCAGTCATCGTATATCAACCTTTACTTGGCTAAAACTGTATTCCAAAAGTCTCAATGTACAATAGAAATAATCATTTGACTAGTTGACTACACTACCTGCTTGTCATTATACATCAGATCTGTGCAGAGGCAAGCAGGATTACAATAATAATCAGTATTTCAAGGTGTTTTTGACCAATAAAAACAGATAAAGTGAAGTAATAAAGTCAGCTCTCAAAGACAAGATTCTCCTTTTCCTAGATGAAAGTACTAGGCTCTCACCAGTCCGTGTGGGTTTGCTGGTGTGGCTGGTTCCTCCGTTCTCTCCGGTCAGAGATCCTCGGCTCGAGTGGAACGTGGGCCTCTTCAGCTTGGAGCCCGACGCTGCCCCCTACAGGAGCACACAGGCAACGTCAGGAGGATTTCATGGTGATACGCAGAGGAGAATGATGTAATATAACAAAAAATAATGCACAAACTACGACATGACAGCTATGAAGATGCCACCAAAACCACCAAAAGGTCACACAACATTAATGAGCAACAACAAAGACGCTTGTACAAAAATGTGAAAGGATGAGGAGTCACTTCACTTTTTTCTTGCAGTGTTGAATCTAAACTTTGTAAGTAAAAATATTATAGTCCACTGCAGCTACTGACTTCACTACAACAAAAGTGTGCTACTTTAGAATTACGATACAACTGATACTGCGCAGTGACATCAGGCTGGGGGTGTTCTGCCTGTACGCCTATGGAGGAATGTTCAGCAGTTACCATGGAGACACAATGCACACATTAGCAAGGACCGCCTAAAACAGTTTTAAGATAGTAGTTAGAAGTTATAATGCTGTTACCTCATCAAAAACGTACTGCAGCTGGAGTTGTGATTTGTTTCATTCACACATGTTTGAGTAATCCTTTATTATTAGTCCGTCTACATCTCCAAACCTCAAAATACTCCGTTCCACACTGTGATGTCATTTAGTGGTAGTTTTCGAGCTACGTTTCACTTTTGGTTCAGTAGACATTTGCAATCCAGAGCTGTAATGATCCAAATGGTTCTTGTAAAGATTTGCAGCACTTCGTGTATTACCACATGACATCACAAGGTGGAACAGAGAGTTTTTTTGTTTGAGAGAAGAATTAAGAAGCCAAGAGAGAAGCCTAAATATGCAGAGTTTGTGTGTTAAATAGGGATGTAACAATAACCGAAATATCGTGATATTGTATCGTCGAAATTCTTTGCTGAAATGCCTGGTTTTAAAGTAGCAATAACTAACAGACATCGGGAACTACATATCCCATGATTCATTTCAGCGCAGACAACATGAAGAAATATGTTTTTTACTTGAATTCTTGGGATTATGACAGAAATAATTCACACCAAAATCTTGTCAAGGTATTTTAAAAGCAAAAATGTGTCCCATCTACAATTATATCAGCCTCTCCAAAATATCGCAATAAATATCGTACCGTGAGATGCTTATCGTGATAATATCATACAGAGAGATTTGGATATCGTTACTTCCCTCATGTTAAAGATGTGAATGAAACAAAACACAACTCCAGGTCTGTTTTTGATGAGGAAACAACATTATAACATCGATCAGAGAACAGCGTAATGTGGACCATTTATACAGCACATTTTTTTTAGGAGTCTGTAATCGATATGAGAGTTCACGGTCCTGTTTAGGTATTTTTAGGTGAATTTCAACAAAAAATGTGAGCCTTACTAAGTGAAAAACTGAAAAAACTGACCAATTTTAACTAACTTGTGACTGTAAAATTGTTTAAGAGCGACTTGTTTAACAGCACAAATCAGCTCATCTGTTTTAGCTCCAACTAAATCAGCTCTTTTTGGACAGACTGTGTTAAAATAAAGCTCAGATTAAAGTTTAACAGAGCTTCAGACAGAGCAGTGCCCACAGTTAGAGTCACACCCCCAGAAAATACTGACGACATCAGCTGCAAAGTATCAATAACTTCAATTTGGAGTTGAAAATGCTACACCTGCAACCTTCCTTCTTGTTCTTATTATGTTATTAGTTAGTGCAGTAGGCTTTAGTGGGGCGGGTTCTGGCCGGGCGGGGCAACGGGGCAAAAGGGGGTGCATTTTTGGGGTAGTTAGAGTGAGTTACCTCGTGGCCATCGGGGCAGCAGTGGCACTTGGATGCTGTCGGTGTTTTACTGTGAGCCAGCCACGGTTTGGCATAGTCGCGAGTGTGGGACGACTAAAGGGAGCAAGGAAGGAGGCAAGGAAGGAGGCGAGCGAGGAAAGGAAACGAGGAGCCAAGCGTTTGTAAAGGGAAGGTGTCGTTTTGAGTGCGGCCCGTCGATGAATTAAGGAGGATTTAGAGCAACATAGCAGGAAAAGGAAGGTTGTGAAATGAAGATAAAACACAAAACATAATTGCACAGTTAGGGATGTGGGGAGACAAAACTCAAAGACAAACAAATGTACAGTTAACGTTTAGACATGACATGAGTGAATGGCTCATGTTTCTAGAAAGGGATCATGTCACAATTTCAGATGGGCATTTGTATTTGATATTATATTCTGTTTAAAAATACTATACTAGTAAATTAGTCCAAATATATTTTCTGAATATATTACACGAATCTCACAGAATTATTGACTATGCACAGGATCATTTCTAGTTTTTATACATACACAAATGCAGTATGTAAATATTGGTTGGGGTCCTTTTTCGTAATTTGACCTGGTAACTGTGCCTGCTTGTCTCCATGAAGATAAATATGTTAATGCCATACTGCGGAACTTCTAGGAGACAAAAGAGGTATGAATTGCGGACCCTCAACCAGAAAAATTATACTTTTACAGTCAGACCTGTTTGTTAGAATAATGCAACACTATTTTGATACTACCGTACATTGAAAAAAAAGTTTTTTAAATGCATAATTTTATGTTAAATAATTGTAATATGATGTATGATTATGTTAATGGACTGAGGAAAATAAACTAACTAAAACTAACATGGTTATTATGTGGTAACAGACGAGCTTTTATACTTAACGCCTTGTTTGTTTTATAAAGAAATTTGCAATAAATGTTTCTATGTACTAAAATTAGGGGTGAGACATTAAGTTCAAGTTCATCAAGTTAATTACGATTAAGTAATTGCAAAGAAAATGAAGCATTGAACATATTAACACATTTGCAAGCCAAACAATGACGAACATTTGTCAGTTTGTCAGTGCACCGTGTCGAGGTATGACAATTATACTGACGCACACAGTGGACTATGAAAGCGCTGAGTCTGGGGGACGGCAAATTTCTATTCAAAAAACGACCCGACTGGAAGTATCGACAAAGGCGCTGTTTACTGCAAACTGTGCAGAGAAGAGTTTGCATATCACAGAAGCACCTGAACCCTACGACACCATTTAAATGCAAAACATGTCACAGCGAACACAGAAACACAACGTTCAGAAGGTAAGAACTTAAAGTAAAACGGCACTTTAACTTTAGTCACTTTAATTTTGGACAATAACCTTATCTTTCTCAACTATTTTGAAATGAAATGCAGTTTATTTTTTTTGAGACATTTTTCCAGACATTAAAAAAGCTTGAGTTTAAAAGTCATGTCTGTGTGTATTATTTGATGAAGTTGTCCAATAAATTCATTTACATAAAATACATGTTGCTTTTGGGGCAAATATTGTTATGCGATTTTTGAGATTACTTAAACACAAAGCCTCAGATTTTTTTTTATCAAGTCCCACCCCTAATTCAAATATAAAAACACAATATTGCCCTTATCTGAGAGTGAGACATCATCTTATCCCAGAATCTACAGAATAACCCGCGGTGCTTCTACTTACCCTGGACGAGGCCGAGGTGGTGGGTGTAGCGGGCGCAGACGGAGCAGAGGGCCCAGACGCTCCGCTGTGAGAGGCCGAGGAGGAGGAGCGGGTCGGGGAGGCGTTTCTGGAGCCCGGCTTAGATCTTCTTCCTCTGGACCTAAACGCTGCCAGACCCTGCGACGCCCCCTCCGGTAAGATGAACTTCTCTCTCAGCTCCAAGTTGGTCCTTCCGCGAGCTGGAATAAACCAAAGACGCGGGAGTTAATATCTGGAGGTGGGGTGGGTGGAGGTCCCGTGGGTGCAGAGGGGAGCAGAGCAGCGTGCACGTCCGGTTTGAGGTGCGTGTGTTGGGGGGCTGTCTGTGAGCTTTGGTCCAGTGAGAGTGGGACAATGTTGATCAATGAAAACAGTCTGAGCTTTCATTGAGTATTTTGACTGAAACAAGTTGGTGAAGCAAGGCACATACTTCAAGAGGAACACAACCTAAGTACATTTACAGTAGTATTTGTTCTCTCTGGGGTATTGGAGTTAAAAGTACTTTGATTATCTGAAAATAAACATGCAAAATAGACTAAACCTCCAGCTACTCCTGACCAAACTCAGAGCTCATGATCTGACGCTAGAGTACAAACTCCCTACAGAGAACAATAAAGAAGACATATCGTACTTTTATCTGCTATATAGTTATAATCTGTGACAAACGTGGATCATTATGTCATAATAATCGCAATATTCATCTAAAATGACTTAATAAAATAAACAAGTCATAACAACAAAGAGTCGGCACCTGCGATGGATGACTGCAGATCGCACTAGTGAGCTGCAGATTATTTTCACTTGAACCAAAATTACAATCCTATTAAATCCTACGTCTATCATAGATTAAGGAAACAAATTTGAAGAAGTACAGAGCAGTGAGCGTCTACAGGTGAAACTGGGAAGTGATTGACAATATAGTCTGAAAATACAGGACGCCATATAATACGATTATGGGTGAGAGGAAACAACTACAGTATTTATCGAACTATAAATCGCACTTTTTTTCATGGTTTGAGTGGTCTTGCGACTTATAAAATTTTCACACTGACAGCCTTGAGAGGCTCTAGTCTTGTGTGTCAGTATCTGCTGCTCCTGTTACTCCTGTACCACTGTCACTTCACTCTACTGTCTGTCTACTGTGCATGTCTCCTGCAGAAAGAGCCACTGTCCTGTCTGTGTCATGTCAGTCGATCGCACCATTACTTCTGTACCACTGAAAATTTTAAATCTAAATTACTTCAGTAACAGAAACCATCCTGTCGGGATTCAGAAAGGCCGGAATAATTCTAATTGGAACTGATGCTGAGTCTGACAACAGCGACACAGAAGAGGAACGCTCTGTTTACCTCTGGAGGTCACAGAGTTGCTCAGAAGTGACACCGAGGATAAAGAATTCAATGGATTTAGTGATTTGGAGTGAGATGGAGAGTTTGGTAAACTTGTTCTGATCTGTTGTTTATAGTTTATCTGAAGAACTGTTCATATGTGACGTTAACAGTCTGTTGTTCTCTGTTCTATTGTTTTTACTATAACTTGACTTTCAAGATGAAATGTCGGTTCCTGGTCTCTGATTTTATATACAATTGTACTAATATATAAATATAATAATTTTTCCCCAAAAAAGTACGACTTATAGTCCGGTGTGACATATATAAGCTTTTTCTTCTTCATTACGCATTTTTTGGCTGGTGTGACTTATACTCCGGAGCGACTTACAGTCTGAAAAATACTGTATAACTAAGTAAATTTTTCATAATAACCTAGTAGTTAAAGTAGTAATATCATTAAATCTAAGACCGAAAACAATTTTAGTAGTGAAAATTTGTGTATCTATGGCTATTTTATGTTAGTTATTAAAAATGAACACAAGTCTATACATCACTGCAGTACTATGTTATTCTTTACTCTCAACATAATATTTTAATCCTCCCTGTAGTTCCACTGTGTCATATGGGTACATCATAGCCTGCAGTAGCTGTGGGGTCATGCCTGTTAATGCCAAAAGCAGGAGACAAACTCGGAACAGCCTCAGCAGACAATCACAAGCCTGCAGCCATCGCAGAGAGAGCCCGGTCCGAACCAACAGAGTCACATAATGAGCCCGCGACAGGGGACAGAGCAGAGCCAGGGGTGAGTGTCGGCATGGCAACAAAGAAATAAAACCAAACAAAAAATGATAGAACGCCAAAAATGAATCGAGTTTGTAGCTTTTTTTTTTTTTTTTTTTTTTTAGCACAGCCCCAGCGATCAAACAGGAGGACGGCCAGTTTAATAAATATGAGTGGAGTCTGTAGTTAGTCTTGTGTTAGTCTGTAATCATGTCCCACCAGCAAAACAGCATTAAGGGGAGAGCCAGGCTGACCACGCCCAAGTCCACAGCACCAACACCGGGTTAGCACGGATAGCAAGATGTCATTTAATACTACTTTAAACAAGGCACGATTTGTTATATCATAGGGTCATTTATTATTACGAGGAATTATACTGAAAATGTGCACATGCTACATTTTCAGGTTATTTAAGCTTACAGACAGCTAAGCCAGGCAAGCTATAAATGCAGACATATACTCTGTACGATTTACCAGAGGTGGGACCAAGTCGTTGTTTTGCAAGTCTTAAATAAGTCTCAAGTCTCTGCCTCAAGTCTGAGTCAAGTCCTAAGGCAAATACAGGTATAAGTTGAGTCTCGAGTCACTGACCCTTTAAGTCTCAAGTAAGTCTCAAGTCTTTGCCTCAAGTCCCGAGTGAAATACAAGCAAGTCCAAGTTGAGTCTCAAGTCACTGACCCTTAAAGTCTCAAGTCTTTGACCTCAAGTCTGAGTCAAGTCTGATACAGTCAAATACAGGCAAGTCCAAGTCAAGTCTCGAGTCACTGGTCCTTAAGTCCAAGTCAAGTCCAAGTCGTCTGCTTTGAGCATCAAGTCATTTCAAGTCTTTAAACCAAAGTACCAAATACAGCTTAAATTTTTGCAATTTATATGAATTTTAAACTAAATTGTTCTTTAAAAAAAATCATAATATATTTAGTATTTATAAAGTATGTAAGAGTTGTAGAAATTCATTTAGTTTCAATTTTACCTTTTTAAAAGTCTTGACAAGATCTTAGTTTGAATCATTACAGTCAGAATAGAAAGAATTCACATTTAAAAGTGCTTCTCAAGTCTTCTCAAGTCTCAAGTCACTGACCTTCAAGTCCAACTCAAGTCCCAGGTCTTAGTCCATTTTATCAAGTCCTAAAAATAGTGACTCAAGTCTGACTCGAGCCCAAGTCACGACTTGCAAGTCCCCACCTCTGCTATTTCTTAGCATTAATTGAAGTACATAATACTACTTTACTTACATTTAGTTTAAGTACTTATTACAAGTTTTGTCCTATTAAAGTACAGATGTCAAAGGCAATAATTATTCCTTATTCCTAAATATTCCTAAATTGCAGTGTTTGTTTTTAAATTGGGAGTAACTTTATTGATCCATAGGGGAAGTTACTTAGATGTAGTTGCTTATGTATTTCTTCTATAGGACCTTTGCTAATAATGAGGCAAATTTACACTGTAACTGTTATGGATGTTCATTATTACACACTGTCTCTGTCAAATAAATGAATAAAACCACACTGCCAGACAAAAGTTTGGATGCCCACCTTCTTTTTCAATGTATTTTTAGCTTGATTTGAATCCTTATATAATGATTTAAATATAAATATCATATAAATATAATTTTCCATTGAAAAAAATAAACAAAATACAAGATGCAGCCGTGTTATTATTTGCCAAGAAATAATGGCCATGACAACTTTTGAGGATTACCTCATAGGGCCAATTCAAGTGGGCTGGGGGGCCGATCAAAGGGGCGCGGAGGGCCGGAATTTGCCCGCGGGCCTTAGTTTGATGACCCCTGATCTACAATATAAACAATCATGGAAATAATCATGGAAATAAAACTATAAATTAAAAGGTGTGTCCAAACTTTTCACTGGTAGTGTATATCTCTAGTATTTTGCATTATTGCCTATAATATTTCATATTAAACTGCAGCTTTGGTAACAGATTTAATTTATAGGTTTACTAGTGTGGTAGCAGTAGCAAGTCTTACATTATTACAACATTTAACATGCAAAATATGACTTGAGTTCACCTCCAAAAAGCATAATCTGTTTAAAATATTAACCAATACTATTAACAATACTAGACTAGACCTTTTAAATTTGTAATACCCAGCTGATTTTCTTTATATTAGAGATATTTCAACCCTTATAATTGATAATATGATACAAAATTGTTTGATAATCCAAATCTAAAGACATGGGGTTGGCCAGATCCTGCTGAAGTGGGTGAGAGAAGCGAAAAGCACAGAGAGGACAAAACAGACACCTGAAGCCTGAAAACACATATAAAAAACAACATGGATTAAAGTATGTTAAAATGAACAGATGATGATAAAATGTCGGGCGATGGAGAGAGTGAGAGATGGACAGTGAGAGATGGAGAGAGAGAGAGAGAGTCAGGGGAAGTACCTCGACAGCAGAAATAGCCAGGAGTGACTGTCACTGAGAGACACAGAAGACAATGTGAAAAACTGCATGCTGGAGGTGGGATGAGACCATAGGCTCAAACAAAACAACCACTCTGTCATTTATTCACACGCGCACACACACTTTTGACCACCAGGGGGCCCACCGCTTCAGTGAGCCCTGTAACATGTAAAATAAATATTGCAGAGAGTGATATTTTTCATTAGGCGTCAGCAGGAACAGGAAGTGAGGAGACACAGAGAGGGAAGTCCCGCCCCCATTATGACAAAATATGGGACAATAACTTTGAAAAACATTAACAGTGGTCAAGACTACATCGTGTAACATATAAAAATGTACTAATAACAACAAAAAATTTAGGTAAAATGCATATTATCGTGGACTCAAAGGACAATAACAAGATAAGTCCAAATTTAGATTTTGAATTGATGAATAGGGGTGTGCAAAAATATCAAAATATCGTATTGTTTAATGTGATGATACTGATGATGAAATAACTAGAACCCGAATCGCGATGGTGGCCTCCAGTGCAACTTCGGCAATAAGGTGAATAGTATTTATCGTGACAGGCCATGCTGTTTTACACAAACGTTGCCGCTACTGAAGCCATCTTTTCACTCTGGAGATTTGGTTAATTTATTAGTTTTAGATTTTCTATGTTTCTATAAAGTTGTTTGTACATGAACAGTGCACAGAATTAGACTAAAACACAAAAATTTTAACTAATCTCGACACAACTGTCAAAAAAGATGAAAAAAAAAAAGCCAGTCTGCCAGGTTATCATAGTCCTTGGAATAGCTGATGTTTTTATTTCACCACAAGAGAGCAATTTAACAATTGTAAGTAAGATGACGTTATGTTTTTTAGGGGAGGTGGTCTTCTCACTCTTTCCTACACAGTAATTTATATGTTTTCTACCTCTTTGCAATGTTTTTACTTGTATTGTGCAAATAAAAATTTAATCTACTCTATGTTGATGGTCATACAGGATTCATAGAACCACAGTTACATTCAGGACCTTTATCATACAGATAAATACTACGTTTCTGAATTGCCGCTTTGATATTTTTCAAAGTTAAAGCCCCATGTTAAGTCCATTTAAAGGGGAGGGACTGGGCCTCTCTTTTGGGTTAGTCAGGTGATCAGCAAGGCACAACAACAAGCCCAAACCATTACATATTAAACAAACCAGAGAGGAGGAAATGGCAACAGGCTGAAGAGAGAGAAGCATTTGACAGTTTATTTTAGGACAAAGGTGAAGATTTAGAGGAAACCCAACCTATACGAGATGAGATGGAGCTACTGGAGTCAGAGCGGAGGATCTTAAGTCCAGGATGTTGAACTGAGGAAAGAGAAAAACCAAGAGAGAGGGATGGGAGAGAGGAGAGGTCCATGCAAAATCATGCAAAAATATTAGTGATCAAATTAGACACTAGATGGAGACAGAGAGAGAAGTTTGGACGAGAAAAGAGAGAAAAGAGTGTCACATAAAAAGATGACAAAACTCGTCAAACAAAAAGGGAAGGTAATAGACTGGAGACACCACTGAAAGAGACTGGAGAGAGATCAGACACAAACTCAAACCTAGGTTAAAGCTACACTGTGAAACTTTTCTGATTGAGCGTACGCCAGCTATTCGACTCCATAGAGAGAGATTATAATGTCAATTATGTTACTTATAATATTCTTTTATGGCATTAAATGTATCCATGGGAACTCGAGATTGACCAAAATGTTTTTTTTTCATGGCTCATGCCGATAACGATTGTTTAGAATCCAGAGAAACTGATTATCCGGTAAACTCTGCCGATATTTTTGGGCTGATATATAGGTAAGATTTTGTGTAGTTATGTTTTCAAGCATCTTTTAAAATAAAACTGTGTGTATTTTTTGAGGAGCAGATCAATCAAAACAAATATTTGGCGTGTGCTGGAGTTTTAAAGATGATGTTGGATATTGAAAAAATCTAATCTAATACTGGTCCGATATGTCTGCCAAGCGATATATCGATCAGTCTCTAATGGAAACAGGCAGGTAGTGTCACCAAGTCACTTGTCAGATCTGTGGAGAGGCGATCCTGCTCATAAATAAGCTTGTGTAGCGTACCCTCTACCAGAAAAGTTACACTTCTTTAATAATCTTAATTTAGTGCAGAGCAGTTAAAAGCTGAGTGTGTTTATATATAATATATATAAATAAGTAAAGTAACTATTACTAGAATGAACTATTTAATTGCACTTAGTTAAATTAAACTCCATAGTCAACAAAATATCCACCATGAATTCTTTCACCAGTACTGAAAAGACGAATAAACCTCAGTCAGATCACTAATTTGGAACAAAAAAAAAAAGTTAACCTTGCAAAATGGAATGGCTGTTCAAAATTCTAAACTAGAAATACCAGTGAATGTTGTTCATCCAAAAGAATCAAGTAACAGTTCATTCGCCCAACTCTCACGTAAGAGACAAAAATCAGGACAAACACAAATAAAGAAGTACACAGAAACACGAAGAAACACATTTGGCTTCATATTTTCTCACGGTATTAAATGAGCTCACCTCGACATGGATCGTTCTTGACCAGAAACTCGTCCAGAGCCATCCAGCCTCCTCCCACTCTCACCATGACCGTGCTGCGCAGGATACGAACCAACCGCAGCTGCTGAGAATCCCCAAACTAAACAGACACCGAGAAAACAGTCAGTGCTTTTAATATGGGAAGAGACACAGGATATTAAAGGTGCACCACGTAACCTTTCTGCTGTAGGGTCTGCCGCCTACTAGAGATTACTTATTACTTCGCCTAGAATGTTCCATAACAACACTAGTTAACTAATGCTAATAGAAAGAATGCCTGTTTTTCAATGTATCTTCAATGCAGTAAATCACATCTACTTGAATAAATGTAAGTTAGATAAATTAAATGTGTACCGTATTTTTCGGTTTATAAGGCCCAATATCAATAATGTTGAATTCTCTCGTCTATTTTCATAAATAAGGCACACCGGATTATAAGGTGCATTTCGTGAAACAAACAGACGACACTTGAGACTGATCTCTAAGCCCAGGTGTCCACAATTCATTGGCAGATCGTGGTAAAATTTGCCCGGTGTTGCCTCCCTGTCTTGGTGAATGTGTATTATGAATGTGAATGTGGGTGAACAATTTAAGTGTGTTTTTTTATTTCCTACGAGGAGCACTCAATTACACATTGAGTAATAATATGTTGAATGCAGCTTTGCGAACATTTGTTTACGTTTTACAGAAACGAAACTTAAAAGCACATGGCTAATTTGCATAAACTCTAAGCACTGAAAAAACTGCTCGCTCCTTGTGCGCTGATGCATCAGCTTCTGACTAACGGACACGACTCAGTGGAATATGAGTGTTCTTCCTGAGTCTGTTCTGTGTGTATATCGCGTTTTGACAGATTTTTGAGTGACGTGTACCACATAAAATCAGGTCGAGGTCAGTAAGCGCGCCTTATAGTCCGAAAAATACAATAATAGTGTAATAAATAGTGGGGAACGATCCAGGCAATGCAATTAGATCTCCATGGAAACAAACAGATGGCAGCCCCTTCACCAGAAAAGTTACATATTGCACCTTTAACTATTATGTTGTTTTTTTTTTGCAGCCATCACGCCAAGCAGTCCCAAAATGATCCAAACCTCAACAAAATTATTATTCTAACATGCAAAAACAACATGCAAATTACAAGTCTATTCAAATAATAAATAAAGTATTCCCAGCCCAGAAATGTAGAAAAATACACAACAGATTTGACTATTTAATACAGATTATCAAAATAAAAGAATGCCAAAAGTCCTGAAGCAAAGTTATTTCTTCAACCAGGCAGCCAGATTTGCTCCCCATCATAAAACAGAACAGAATAAACTGTAAATATCAAAAAAAGGACCACTTCAGCCATTGTCTCTAGTTTGAAATTTTTTTTTGCTAGAAATCAAAGAAATCCACACAAGAGGACTGTGAAACCTGCTCACGATCCTGCCACAATTAAGCGCTCATCTCCTGGACTTTATAGTTTAATCTGACTCGAAAATGGAGTTTGGGGAGAGCGCTTTTGATTGAAGCAGAACCAGAAAGCAGATTTCACTCGTCCGATCACAGCAGAGGACGTTACTTTACCTGGTTTCCGAGGAAGAACTAAAAATCCAGACACGGAGCAGAGAAGTGAGGGGAGAGAAAGAGAGGAAAATGTAACAAAAATGTATTTACAGTTTATATTTGTGTATTTTGTGCTATAAAATGGTACAGAATTATAACTTTAGATAATATTACGTGTTATTGTATAGTGAATTAGTTGTGTAAGCAGCAAACGCAGTGAAATAAAATGTTAAAATGTTTTGAGTTGTAAATGGTGATGAAGACAGAGAGAAACAGGAAAGAGAAACAGCTGTTATGACACACACAGACCAGTAGGGGGCATCCAGTGTCGCTGTGAGACACTAACAACATTGACCGTGAGGTAATGACAATGAATAGAGTCCAAAAGATGCTGCTGAAATGAATGACTCCTGTAAAAGGCTGCACAGATACAAACAACTGGGGACTTCAATGAGGACTATTTATTTGATTTTATTCCTTATCAACCAAATTTCAAAAAAGTTAGTTGACGATTTTTTGTTTTTTTTTGTATATTATTTTTCATGCACGTCCAAATCTAGTTTTGTATACACCAAATTGATCACAACTTTGCAAATTTTATACTTTTTTCCACAATATTTTATTATTTTTATACATTTTTTTGGTCTTGGGTGAAGATTTACAGTAAATATTGTAAAATTTCTCAGATAAATTAGCTACACTGTCTAAAATGGTATCATCTTTTAGACTATTTCTTGTTTTCTGCATATTATTTTTAGTTATTAGTTAATAATATTGTACAATGCTTTGTTTACACCAAATTCATCATCATATTGCAAATTTCATGTCTTTTTTCCACTATATTTTATTATTTTTATTAATTTTTCTTTTATTTTTTGGTCTTGGATGAAAATTTGATCAAATAAATTAAATATTGTAAAATTTCTCCCCATAATTTCTTGTCTTGTATCTACGCAACCACATTTACAAGGCATATTAATGATGAGACGACAAACAGCAGAAGATCTGGTGCTCTGTGACAAGTCCAACATTTAAAACATTATAATTATTAAAAACATATAAAATACACCATGTGTTCATGATGTGACGAATGAAAGAGCTTTGGTTATGAACTGTGAGACAAACAGCCATTCAGTGATATTATTTTGTTATAAATTAAAAGCTTCAGGTGAATTTCTTTATTTGATTTTGATTTGAACTTACCCTGTACTTGTTCTCCCCGATCTGCTCCACCTGGAACCTCTTGGCACATTTGCACTGCGCCACCTGTCGAGTCACCTGAGAAAAACACAACGTTTTTAGTCTATTAGAGGTGTGGTCAAATATTGATAAGATAGTGATTCTAATACTACTAATAAAAAAAAATCCATATTTGTAATTCCGACTTGGATCTATAATAAAAACTGGATAAGGCATTCAGCTCTTTCTCAACTCCAGACTGACTAGTGGCCGCTCCAGGTACTGCAGCTCCCAGAAAAAACTCTCCCATAGAAGCACAATGCATTTTTGGGGAATTCAAACAGCCCGTGTTGGGCTGACAGAGTATTTACTACTTTCACAAAGGTCGGATTTTGTAGGGATTTTTTTCTATTTATATACCATATATAACATTTTTTTTTTTTTTATCGTCAAAGCGCCTAAAATGTGGCCTTGTAAGACTTGGCCTGGTCCCGCTCTGAGCAGCTCTCATTCTGATTGGTCCAAACACTCCACGCTGTGCACCTTACAGACGTCACACAGGTGGAAGGAGCTCGGCTGTGTTGAGGAAGTAAATGCGGAAAAGAACTTTTTTTGGGCCCATGCACCAAAGAGCACACGCCATTGAAAACAATACAGTACAGAGCCATCTTGGGTTCATCTTAGAGATTTTATTATAGTTCTATGTTCCGATTATCATAGCAACCAAAGAGCCAATTGTGAGCCAGGTGGTCATAGGTAACGCTCCTTCCTGCTCCGCTCTGCTGGTTTAGCAAGTTTAACACTAGTGGAATGACCTTGGTGAAAGAGGGCAACTCAGTTTGTCTGTAATTAAAGTTCATATCTTGATTTAAGGAGAAAATAGCAAAATAAAAACCCCAGGATCATGTAGAGCGGGTTTATATGAACATCTTGAGACCAAAACGACGAGCCTTACAGCAGCATTTACAGAGAGAGGGGTGATGGTTTTTCAAGAGAAAATTAACTGGAGACAGAGTCGATGGAGCCAAATCTTACCCATGCTCACTTTCAATTTGGACCATGGCAGCTAACAAAGTATATATAGTCTATGATCATTGTTTATAGAATCATAAAATTCCCTCTGATTCCCGGCCATACTTAATATAATTTCTTCTGATAAATAAATGTAACTTACCTCATCTTCGATCTTATCTGCGTCCGTGGTCGGTCTGTACGCGTCTTTGTTCGGATGTAGAGCGGCGACAAACTCATAATAGTCGATGTAACCGTCTCCATCGCGATCAAAGATGTCCGCCACCGCCGTCATCTCCAGTTTACTGGTCGGGAACTCTGCAAAAATAAGAATAATGCTTAGCTATGAGAGAGAATTACAGGTTTCATACGTACTCAATAATTGATTTTTTTGCCCAGTTAAAGGTGTTGTACATAAGACTGTATAAAGAAATGGACTAAGGTGACTAAGTGCAACGTCACTCCACTATCTGGGAAAAATGCTGTACAGTCGATTTATATTTCGAGCTGTAACTCACTTGAAGCCAGGATGCCGTCTATAAACTCCTGTCTGGTGATCTTTCCGTCCTGGTCTTTGTCGATTCGTCTGAAAAAGTCCATCACTCTGGACTTCTTATGGTTCATCCAGCGCATGTACTTCTTCCTCCACACGTCAAAGTCAAAGTTGGCAAATTCCTTCAGCTGAAAGTGGAGAAATTAAAATGTTATTATCCATATTATAAGACCAAAACAAAACACTGCTACTACTATTATATTTTTAAAAATCTACACAATTATCACAAAATTGGTTTCCACTACTTATACTTTTTATTGTTATTTCAGCTAATACTTCTTACTAACAACATTTTTAGCTTTCATGCAAACTCTGGCCTGTATATATTCAAGCTGCTTGCCGTCACATTGATTAATATTGTCCTGTAAATAAATAAAATGTCAAAAACACATACTATCATTACTGTATTTTGTTAGGGACTCCAAGTAAACAAGTGCCATTGTGGGTTGATTTTGTGCATCATTTCTTATAAACAGCTCATGTGTCAGTACCTCCTCCAGCCTGTCCAGGGCATCGTTGAGTTTACGTTGGCGTTCCAGAGCCAGGAGCCACACCTGCTGCCACCGAGCGCAGAGCTGGTTCAGACGAGGATTCGCCGATGTGACCTGTACTGCCCCCTGCTGTTGCTGCTGCTGTTTACCTAAAGATCATTGAAAGTCTCGATTAGTCCTAATTTGTATCATTTTGTTTATTTATGTTTTTATTGCCCAAGAGTCGGGTTTGTCAACATTTAGTCTAAATAAAGCATAAACAAAGGCTTAATCCATAATGAAGAAATTATTTATTAATAATGATTCATGCCTATTAACTACTGAATTAACAGGTTAAAGGTGTACTGCTTAATTTTTATAATTATTATTATATTGTTATTATAAAGTGTTTATAACAATATTTTAAATGTAAAAGTTAAACCTACGTCCTCTCCTCTCTGCCAGGGTCTCAGAGGGTTTTCTCTTGTAAGATTTTGTCACTTTGTCGACGTCCGGCTGTTTCCTCGTCATCTCCTCCATGAAACTCTATAAAATAAAAACAAAAGTTAATTAATTAAACTACAAATGTTATTGTCAGAGCAAAAAGGCGTTTTCTATAAAACGTTTGACAAGTTCAGGCAAAGAAAGTCAAGTAAATAAAGGTGGTACAATATTTTATTTGTACTGAATCAACATAATTCCATTGATTTAGTCACTGGCTGCAGTTACATGTGCATTCCACATTTGATGATTACCAGATTTTTGTAATTTTGGAAATTAATTTTATAATAACAATATAATTTGGCAACTTGCACAGCAAATTCATACTGGAACGCTCATTTAATTACTACAGGCTCCGATTAATTCATCGTTTTTGTACTTTTTTGACATTGAAATTTCATCGGTAACCCTCTCAAATATAATGGCATCGACTCCAAACAATTTTGTTGATTTTAACCATCCTATCTCTTCCTTAAGATATATTGGCATTGAACATGTGGAACTGCCCCCTAGAGGTGGTAATCTAGAGATGCTCCTGTCAAAAAGAGAGCACTTCTGGATTCACCATCTTAAAACTCTTACTCCTCATGGACTGAATGTGGAGTTTGATTTAAGATGTTTTTTGTGATAGACAAACTATTTCTGCATTTTATAAAATGTTTTTTTATGTAAACTGTTGTTTCTTGTTGTAGAATGGGCTGAACTCACTGGGTGACCTCACTTTGGGACCTCCCATTCATTGAGTGGGTATTTTGTGTGCTGTGGTCCAAGACAAGAAAAATATCTGATGAAGGCTTTTTTTGGCGAAACGTTATTTTGTTAATAAAATAGTATTTGGACATTGGCTATTTCACCCTGATCTGGCTACTCCTTGCATTTGCACCTCTGCAGGAATCTTGGTGTGCGTTTTCTGTTTCTTTTTATCGACTCCAAACATAAAATCTGAGGCTACACTGGTCATTTCTCAGTGTGGACCTGGTGTTCAATGACGAGGGACTTGAGCAAAAAACAGATAAATAATAGGAAATGCACCCAAATATAATAGCACTGACACAACCTAAAATAAAGAGCCACTGTAATACGTCCCCAGTGTGAACCAGTGTCTGACCTGGTGCTCGGTGATGAGGGACTTGAGTTGGGGGATGTCCTGTGGGAGGGGGTCTGTGTCTCTCTGGATCAGGGTGGTCTCCGCAAACTGCAGCCAGGACAGGAGCTCCTCCAGCAGGTTTGCGTTGTTCAGGACCTCGGTCAGAGCCGTCTCCAGCCTCTGCTCGTGCTGCTTCGCCCACGTCAACACCTAAACCACAAAAACAAATCAGTTATTTTTGTTCATGCAACTGATATTAATCAGTACATTTGAAATGAATTGATTATGTAAAACAGGTTCAGTAATTGTAGATTGTTATAATAATATATGAGCTTTTTTTCAACCTGTAGACTTTATCTGACATTATAGGAAATTAGAGTGTGAAAAAACAAGAATCAGTCACACAATATCGCTTGTGTTCAATATGTACCTCTATCCAAAAAAATAAACACATGAAGTTACCAAACACAAGTTAAAGGTGGCAAATAGCAATTATTAATATAAATGACCATAAAAACATCTTAAAGCCAATTCAGTATTTTACTTTTTAATCTAAGGAAGCAGCAGCACTGGATTAATAAGGAATAAGGATAAGTTAATATGGAAAAAACATTTTCAGTAGTACAGAGTGTAGAGACTGAATCCAAAACATAGACTGTATATAAAGCTAATGCAATTGCTACTACGTTCCTAATAGGAAGTTCGCATGTGGGCTCTTCCGACTCCTTCTGACCCTCCCTCCCATTGACTTACACTGGAATACTGTCACCCTTCTCTCTGTAATTGCTGCTGTCTGTCCGTTAAAAAACCCTAATATAGAACCTGAATCCAGATTCACTCCTGTAACTGTGAGCATCGCAAGCTTCATTTGAGTGGAATCGAACGCTGTGAGTGACGTCACACTCACTTATAGTCCACTTTTTATATTTTTTATGTTCCAAACTCACAAATAGCTGTGTATATCTCCCCATCTCTACACACTGCTATCTTGACAAAAAGTATCCATACCTAAATATCTCTACCCACTCTACACACTGGTCAATGTACAGTCTAATAAATCCTGCAGTGAAAACACCTGGTAATTATGTTGTAAATATAAGTACCTCCTCGAAGCGCGCTCTGATGATGGTGATCCAGTGCTTGATGGTGGTGATGGAGTCTGGGTGACACACAGTGAGAATGGCCTCTCCCATCCCCGCAGCCTTGTTCACGTCTGTCCTTTTGTCCTCCACAGATCCCAGGAAGTCTCTGTGTGTGTGGAGCAGAGCCTGGAGAGTCTCCGCCTCCTCCGGCAGGACGCCTCGGAAACGCAGGCTTTGCTCCGCCTCCGACAGCCACTCCAGGAGCACCTGCACCGTGCTACGAAACTCCTCCGCCTGAACAAGGGCAAAGGAAGAATATTTATGCAGTGAATCCATCTAAGAGTTTAGATGATTTAGTATAATAACAGTGACATAAAGCCGCTCTTACCTGTTTGAACGCCTGCTGCAGCCTCGTCTGTTTGGTCACAGACAGAGCGCACACAGTGTCCCAGCGGTTGCTAAGCTCCTGCAGTTGAACTTTGACCCAGGCCGTGTCGTCCCGTCCTGTGTCCATCAGGTCTCGAGCTGATCTCTTCAGAGCCTGGATGTTTGTGGTCCTCTTCCCCAGCTCCTTCTGGAAAGCCTGTTCAGACAGAGAAACAGAGCAATGAGTCAAAACCAATTCAATAAACGATGGACTAAAAAGAGGGTACATCACTGTGAATAATTAGGATGCAAGGAATGTGTTAACACAGTGAGGATTAACTTTGGACCACTACAGTAAAAATCATTTAGTGCGCCTTTAAGCTATTGTTTTAAAGTGTTGTCTGACCTTATGAGCGTCCATGAGGTTGGAGACCAGGTCAAAGTCTCCGTGCACAGGCTGGTCCTCGGCCAACTGTGGCTCCACTCTGTAAAGCCAGTCCACCAGAGCCTGAAGAGCCTCTGCAAACTGCCCCGAGAAGAGCAGGGCCTCCTCCAGCTTGTGCTGCCTGCAAACAAGGGAAAGAAGGGTGTTTAGTCTAAGTAAGTACTATTTTAGAATAGCTTAAGAACAAAAAATTATGAAAAATGAACAATTCTGAATAATAATTCTAAATAAACGATTGTTCATTTCAACTTAATAATGCTAATTAAAGTGGCATATTCTTGGGAACAATAAGCATTTTTAATAAGTTTTAATAAGTGTTTGAAGATTGTCTCTATAAGTCTTAATGCAGCTAAACTATGAACTACTGAACAAAAAAAAACAGAACTAAAAAACAGGGTCTAACCAAACCAGGACTAAACCAGGCCTAAACCCAGACTAAGCCAAGTCTTACTAGGGACAAAACCTGGTCTAAATCAGTACAGCACCAGGACTTGAGTATTAAAGTATTAATATTAGTAGTGAACCAGAAACCAAAAATAGAAACTGAAAAAAACTATAGAAGGCACAGAGTAACAAAAGAAGGAGAGCAGCGTCCACTTAGAAAGACCAATAATTATTACTTTATATCAACTATATGTACATTAAAACATGGTATTTTCTGTAGTCTTTACCTCTCCACACTTTTGCCACAGACGGTGTCCCACTTGTCGCGCACTTCTCCCACCAAATGGTCCAGTTTCTGTTTGTCGTCCGGGAGCTGGGCCTTGTCTCTCATGGCTCGGCCCGACCTCACTGTGGTGTCATAGACCGGCTGCTTAGACCCCAAAGCCTTCTGGAACTCCTACACAACATACAGGAAAGATATTTATAAGAAGTGCTAAAATTACAAATAATAAAAATGTGAAAAATATTATTGAACAGTACCTTGTGTTTAGTGAGTTGAACTTTGATCTTGTCCGGTTCGTTGGAGATCTCCAGCTCAGAGTCCAGACGCTTCTCAGCCTCCTCCAGCCAGTCTGTGAGCTTCCTCCAGGCCTCGTGGAACTGTGAAAAGCACAAAAAATACAATATTTATTAACAAAACTACTAACCACAAAATAAAAACACGTTTATTTTGCTTTTCATTAGCATTTCCACAAACTTTCCGAGACCCATTTTTGACTTGGAGAAGGTCCTCTTGCTGCTTTTTTTCCATGGAAATGTTTTTCCTTTGGCTATAATCTTCCACCGTATGATATAAAAGGCATTACTGTTCATGGAGAATGTTCTGAAGTATGGTTTAACTTTCTATCTCCATGGACTCAAGCAGGTAATGTGCCACTACCAGAAACTTACATATTGTACCTTTAAGTTAGTTAATAAGCCTGACTCATTTTTAATAAACTATTAATTCGTTGTGAATTAAGTCTGAAAATAGAGTAGTTTTTCCATTGTTTAGCACACTGATGTACTATATGTTTGGTAAAGTCATACATAATCAATTTTCTATTAACCATGTGTCTTATTCCAACCGTCTCATACCTGTTTGGCTCTCTTGCGCGCCTCGTCCAGGTGTCGTCCTCGGTCCAGTGACCTCTGCACCAGTTTGTCCCATCGCGCCTGAACACTGAGCAGCAGGTTTTTGATCAGGACCACATCCTGTTTGAGACTCGCGAATCTGAGCTGAGAGCCGGACTTCTCCAGAGCCAGGACCTGCTCCCGGTGCGTGTTCACTTCATTCACGAACACCTGCACAACAGACACCACATGGGCATTAGATTTACTTATATTTCATTCTGTACTTTTATGTAAATGTGTAATATATGAATGTAATTGTGAAAGAAAATGGTGGTAGGATCAGTTTTTTTTTTTTTTTCTCTGGGTCACAGACTTTTTTTTAGAAAAGACAGTTAAAGCAGTTTTTGGTTAAGTCCTGGTTAAGTCCTGGTTAAATCCTGTTTTAGACCTGGTTTAGACCTGGTTTTAGACCTGGTTTACCTGGTTTAGTTTAGATAACCTGGTTAGACCTGGTTTAGACCTGGTTTAGTCCTAGTTTTGACCTGGTTTAGTTTAGACCTGGTTTAGACCTGGTTTAGTCCTGGTTTAGACCTTTTAGACCTAGTTTAGACCTGGTTTTAGACCTGGTTTAGACCTGGTTTAGTCCTAGTTTAGATCTAGTTTTGACCTGGTTTAATCCTGGTTTAGACTGTTTCAGTTCTTGGTTTAGACCTGGTTTAGTCCTGATTTTAGACCTGTTTTAGATCTGTTTAGTCCTGTTTTAGATCTGGTTTAAGTCCTGATTTTAGACCTGGTTTAGTCCTGGTTTAGTCCTGGTTTAGTCCTGGTTTAATGGCGGCCCGTGTGGTGTACAGGAGGGGAGGGACGGTCCGCGCGGCATGGTTAAGTCCTAGCTAAATCCTGTTTTAGTCCTGTTTTCGTCCTGGTTTTAGACCTGTTTTAGACCTGGTTTAGGTCCACACAGTGTACAGGAGGGGGGGACAGGTGAGTTAAAGCATGAAATTGGGAAAAAGAGAGCAGAGACCTTCAGAAAACACTGAATCACACTGCCTTAACCCCTATATCACTGGTATGATTTCTTTTTAAAAATTTGCAATTATAATTCAATTTACTGCATAGTTATTCTTTCAACTACCATACTGTTTGAAGCTCATCTTCTTGCTTAAACTTTTTATACTTTCGGCTATCAACACCTTAACATTTATTTGAGTTCTAATATCATGACAATAAACCTAACAGAAAGTATATGAGCATAGAGAAAGGAAATAAAATAAAAAAACAATCCTGTATGTTTGTACCTTGTGCTCGTCGATCTGGAAGAGCACAGTGTCCAGGATGAGGCTGGGGGGCTGGGCCATGTTCAGAGTCTGTTCAGCCTGAGTGAGCCAGTTTATGGTGTCCTGAAGAGAAGTCTGGAAACCTGTGGCCAAAGACACCGCCTCCTCCAACTTCGCCTGTGGAGGAAAGAAAGGTACATGTTAGAAGAAGAGAAACTAATCATCCATGTTTCATTATTTATGTTTTTATTTATTATTTTATGCTGTAAAATTGATGTGACAGACAGCAAGCAAAATTTAAGTAATGCATTAAGTTATTATAACCAAAATTAAGTACTGCATTTCTTATTTTCAGACATGTACTTATGGTATTAAATATAGTCTTAAAAATAATTCAAATTCAAAGTAATATCAGGCATTTTTATAGTTTAAGTTCAACTGGAAAATATTACAGCTGATCATTTATTTAATATTTTATGGTTTTGAATATTTTTTTGTTTTTTCTGTGTAATTGATTTTTTTACTTAACATATATTTCTAGCCTATTTTCTGTTGATTTTATTGGATTGTGTATCGTCCATGACAGCTAAATGAGCTTTTATATCACTGCGCAGAAAATGTTGTTTACAAAGTGGGATTAGTTGATGCAATTCCCCATTTGTCCAAGAGTTGAGGTTGTTTTCTAACATATAAAATAAGATAATTAAATGGACATACATGCAGTAAAGTCAGTTAGAAAGTTCAAATAATTGAGAAAGACTAATCAAATGGACATTGGACAAATGGACGGCCCTCTTACCCTGCGGTCGTCCATTTTGGCGTTGAGACTGGTCCATTTGTTCTGGAGCATGGCGAGGTTCTGTTGGGTCTGCGTGGTCCCAGGTCCGGCCTCTTCTCCTCGGGCCAAAAGCATGGACTCCCCCTGGTCCAGCAGACGGTGGTACTGCTCTGCCCTCTGCGTCAGCTGGGCCTGGAGCTCCTGAAAACGGACACAACAAAAGTTAAAGATGCAGATATGGAGACGTGAGGGGGTGTTTTCTTGAGCAGTTCCTGGGACAAAAGAGGTAAAGTTACAAGTCGTCTGCCATATGTCGACTATTATTCTGTGTTCACAATAAGGATGGATAAGGTGGCACTGTCAACACAGCAGCAACTAAAAATAAAGATCAGGTTTGTGGCTAAAAAAATCAACAAATTAGGCTCAAAAAAGGCTCTGTTCTGTAAAAAGGTTCTGAAAAGTTAATCCGTAAAAATAGAGGTGGGATGAGACACAATTTCCACAAAACAAAACAAGACACGGGACTGGATCTACGAGAACGAGACAAGATGACATTTTGACATTATTTAGGCTTTAACAAATACATTGTGCATTTCAGTTCCCAGTTTTAGTTTCACCATTTTTATTGACTTTATTTAATATTTCTGCTGTCACTGTATCTCCGCTTTTTGGGACTAAGCATTCTCAAAAATTTTTACTCAATCCAATCATAAAAACATGAGGAAAAAAAATAAAATCACGAGATCATTTTAAGTAAGTGTGCACGATCTTGTGGCAATTTTGTCTCGCAAAATTTTGTTGCCCGAGATCTTGTCCCATCCCTATGTATTAGTAATCTTTAATCCAATTCACTCATCTTAAAAACATTTACAGTGACGCTACCTGAAAACCTTGTAACAAAAAAATTAGATGGATGGATGGATAGAGAAATAAGCAACTAAAGTCTTCATTTATTCTATTGATTCTGGAGCGTGTAACACCTCTACTTTCTTCTTAAATTGGATCAAATCATGCTAAAAAGCATATTACAAACATATTCTTGTAAACAATAGCGGTCATCATGTTTATTCTCGTCTTGTCTCGTACCATGTGTTGCTGGAGCTGCTCCCTGGCCGTCTCCGGGAGGCCTCCTGTGGGTTTGGCTGCGGAGAGCTGACTGTCCGTCCTCCTCAACCACTGAAGGAACTCCTCCAGCTCGCCATGGAAGCCCTCCGCCTAAAACAGACACAGGAGGAGGACGAGACAAAGGTAGACTTAATAATAATAATAATAATAATGCATTAGGCAAGGCAAGGCAAGTATAAGTGTATAGCACAATTCATACACAAAGTCATTCAAAGCTTTACAGAATAAGAAATACATTAAATAATCACAATACAAACAAATATAAATACTAATCATAAAATTAAAAGAGAGAGACAGAGATATTAAATGAGAGAGAAGAGTGCAGAATGAAACCTTTCAGTCATACGCAACTAAACAGAAGTGTTTTGAGTCTGATTTAAACAGAGTCAAAGTAGAGGCCTGTCTAAAGTCTTCAGGAAAACTGTTCCAGGTTTTAGCTGCATAAAACTGAAACACTGCTCCCTGTGTTTAGTCTGACTCTGGGCACTGACAGGAGGCCGGTCCCTGAGCTCCTCAGAGTGCAAGATGGTTCATATGGCACTAACACACTTTAAAGTTTATTCTCTGAGCCACAGGAGCCAGTCAGAGACCTGAGACTAGGACTTATGTGCTCGTACTTCTTGGTTCGAGTCAAGACCTGAGCTGCAGCGTTCTGACTAGTCATTAATCGTATACATCGCTTTTCCAGATGCTCAAAGTCGCTTCAAAGTTTGTACATTATTCACTCACTCCATACTCGGTGGGGGTAAACTACTATCATAGCCACCGCTGCCCTAGGACAGACAGATGGAAGCAAAGCCGCCAATCTGTGCTACTGGCCCATCAGATCACAAAATAACTCACTCACACGGCACATTCAAACTAAAGAAAATGGACTACAAATTTAGAATCAGTGGAGGAGTGTGTCTCAAAATCATGACAAATCAACAGTGTAAAATAAAATAAACTATGAATGAATTCAAAACGCTGATCTTTAGACTACAGTATATTCATTGTACTAATGCACATGTGCAAAACTGTGCATTTAAATTTATAACTATATTCTTTCCAATTTTATAAGTAAAGGAAGCAACATTGCTAACAACAAAAAAATAATAAATAATAATATCACATGTTGTTTTATGTATTTTCTTTGTATTTTTGGAACTATATGTAAAGGAAACAACACTGCTAACAACAAAAATATAATAATAAAAAATAACACGCTGACATTAATCACGTTCATAGTGTTTTTACCTGTTGCAGTGCGGCCTCCAGGAGTTTCTGGCGGTCCTGGGTCTTGAGTAGCAGACTCTCCCAGCTCTGGTTGAGTTGCTCCAGCTGCTCTCGGAGGTGACCTGCCTCGTCTCCGGGGGAAGACTCCAGGAGCTCCGCCGCCGCACTGTTCACCGTCTCCACTGTTGCATGATGGGAAAGCACGTCGTTACGCAGCACCTACAGCAGAGGGAGGAGAAGGAGGGTGAGTTTAAGAAGCTTTGAGAGCAGGAGAAGAAGAAGAATTCACTAAATATAATTTTTCTAATTAATTTGCTCCAAAAGATGGTCTGGGTCTGAGAGAATATTTCAGTACAGACAGAAGTATGAGCCCATATAAAGCAGATTAGATTTTTTTATTCAATACCTGGAAGTACTATACCTTATCTACTAACCAAAGTAAATTGTCAGTGTTATATTTGAATTATAATTGAACAGATTTGGAAAGAATAAGAAGGAGTAGACCAGTGCAATTTGAGGGGTATGGTTGTATTATAGAACTCTGAGTGACTTTTTAAAAGAAAAAAAAACACACAAAAAAAACCAAAAAAACAAAACACTGTACAAATGTGTTTAAAGATTGTGTTTTTAAATAGTTTTGAACTACACCACTGACCTGGGACAGGTGTCAGTGGTGTAGTGGAGATTTTTTTAAGTGGGGGTATGCGATTTGTGAAGTCACCCCCCCTCAATTTCCAATACTAACATAAAGGCGCCAGGCCATTTTTACTCAAAATTATACAGAATCATGTTATTAACATTAAAAACATTCATAATCCCCTACAGAACATAAATCATCGGCAACAACACATGAACCAGGACTGAACCAGGTCTAAATCTGGTCGAAACCAGGTCGAGACCAGGACTAATCCAGGACTAAACCAGGACTACCGGTAATCTTGGACTTGAGAGCGAGAGAGAGACTGGGCAACGGCTGTGCTTAGCCCAAGGGGGTGTGGAGCTCTGGGCCAGTCCTTTCACCCGCAGACACCCGATAGTCTAGTCCCGACACTCAGTGCTGGTTCAGTTCTGGTTTAGACCTGTTTTAGTCCTGTTTTAGTCCTGGTTCAGTCCTGGGATCAGTCCTAGTCCCCTCATGTTGCAGGTCAATATAGGATAACACTGCAGATATCCTGAGCCTATGCAGGTTGTTTTCACCATTGCCAGTAGCTCCAGTTTGACATTATATTTGTTATTTTTTTATATCTCATGTCAGGAAAAGCGGGTGGACAGCGTTTCCCCCGTGCACCACGCACACTACACCCCTGACAGGAGTTGAGAATAAGCACCAGCTCTATATGCGTGCTGCCTATGATTATGTATGAGTGCACTGTCCCTGTCAAAAAAATAAATAAAAGAACAAAAGAAACATTGACAGAACAACCTACCTTTGAGCTGACAAAATGAACAAAAAAATAATAACTAAAATTAAATCAAACAATGAATAACTGTCTACTTTGTTAATGAAACAAAACCAGAGGAAGCAGCGGTGGTGTGTGTGTGTGTGTGTGTGTGTGTGAGTGAAGCCGTGGACGGGGTCGTACATGGTGTTTGGCCAGTTCGATCTCGATGGCTTTGGGGTCAGAGGTCACGGCTCTCTGCGTGTCTAAGGTGGCGTGAGTGTGACTGAGCCAGGCCTGCAGCTCCGACAGCGCGTGTTGAAACTGGCCCAGGGCGAGCAGGGCGGCCTCCAGTTTGTGCTGCGGCGGAGGAGAGAGAGCAGGTAAAACCAAGCACACACAGAGACAACGACACAAAAGCAACGTGGGTATTTACTGTAGATTAACACGTACTGAGTTATAAAAATAGGTGGATATAAGATTGATTTGTGTTGTACTTTTAATCGCCTTTTAAAGAATGAACACAGACTTAATTCAAAATAGTTAATGAAGAATGATTCAGACTTAGTAATTACATAAAGAGAGGCTATTTTACTTCTTTGGAGAATTAACTGCCTATTTGCTCCCCGCTCTAAGTCACTCCCCCTTCAGAACATACAACATAATCTTACAGTGAACGCAAAGAGGGTTTGAATAGGCCCCGGGAGAGATCACTAAATCACTCAAACATGCATGGAGGACTCTAAAACCTCTTCAGGCATGTTTTTGATGAGGGAACAGCATTAGAACACAGTAGAAAGCTAAAAATAAAATCTATTTTGCGTAATACCCCTCTTTAATAGAACCTAGAACAGATGTGAGACAGACTCTACTCTGACACTTTAAATCCAGGCTCAAAACACTTCTGTTTAGCTGCGCGCATGACTGAAAGGTTTTCATTCCACACTCTTTTCTCTCTAATTTATGTAATTAATGTCTCTCTCTGTTTAATTTCATGATGATTATTTATGTGTTGATTTGTTTTTATTGTGATTATAATGTATTTCTTATTCTGTAAAGCGCTGAATTACTCTGTGTACGAATCGTGCTATACAAATAAACTTGCCTTGCCTTGCCTAATAATACCTCAATCCTGACTCCTTACCCAAACACTCTGTCTGAAATGAACTCCTTGTTCATTATGAATAAAGTCTTCATGTTCAAGTTTTATTAAGGCTGATTAAGTAGTAGTTATAATAAAGTTGTACCTGTTTACATGTTTATGTATATTATATGAATGAAATCATAATTAAATGAAAGTATGTCCAAACCTGTCCAAAAACTTACAGTAAAATGTTAGAATCTCATATGCTAAACTGCAACTTTATGGTTAATTATTTAGAATAATAAAAGTAAGAATACAGTTGTAAGAATACAGTTCCTTCATTCTGTTGAGATGATTTCAAATGCAGCCAGAATTAACATTTAGTCAAAAGAAATTAAATGATCTTTGGGATTAAATCACGTGCTGTTAATGGGACCTAAACTGAAAACATTAACAGATGTTACACAGACAAAAGTACATGTTTTTGGAGAGTGCCAAAACATGTTTTTACAAAAGTCATAATTGATTATTTGTCAAACTTAATGCCTGATCAGGGGTTATGGATCAGTTACTGCAGAGTTTGTAACACCATTATAATCTTCTAAACACTAACATGTAAGTTGTGATCACTGAACACTGAATATGTTTGGCAGTTTGCAACAGCGGCTTGTGAGTCAAGTTATTGCAAAGTTCCACACACTAGTAAAGGCATTAATTGCTCCCACACAAAGCTGCTCGAGTTATTTCAACACACATATTCGGTCACAAACCTGTCGCTGGGTGATTTTGTCCCCTAAATTTTCCCAAAGGTGTCGGAGTTCGGTCAGTGGTTCCTGGATCATGTCTCTGTCAGTTTGATCTGAGACTTTCTTCAACAACAGCTCCCCCTGGTGGCAGAGTTTCTCCATGTCGATCTGCTGCTGGTACACGTCCACTTTGTACTGCTGCTCAAACGGCAAGAAAACACTGGAGTCAGGGTTTGGACTTTGGAGAATGTAGAGATGTTAATTAATCACAACAACTAAGACCATTTTAGAAGCAAAATGAATATAATAGTATGAAAAGTAAACAATATTGTAAAGCATTTTCTATTTGCTGGTTTATGTCTTATTAACTTCACTTTATTATTCAACATACAACACAAACTTATGATGATATATATATATTTATTCATTATTTGTTAATTTAAATGTATGATCAAACCTTGAGTTCCTCGATCTGCTGCTTCACTGTTCCCAGGTCAGTCCCAACAGTCGACATGTCACACAGTTTGATCACAGCATTGTCCAGGTAATCGAACATGGACTGGAAACATAAAAAAATGCATTACAAGTAGGAAATAAGACAAGAACCATTTTACTAAAGCCTTCCTGAATGACAAAATCGTTGCAATACACGATGCGTCAGTTTAACGGTCAACTGTATTTATTTATTTTTTATTTTTTTTGTAATTCATTCTATGTATTAAGGTCGTGCAATTAATTGAATTTTGATCACAATTTCAATTTGCGTGTCAAACCATCTCCAGAGTTGAAACAATTAAAGCATAACAAAGTTTATTTTGGGATATTTTTTATATAAATAAGTGTATTTATATTATTTTTTTAAACACAGAGATTGTAGAACAGCTGGATATATAGTTTATTTTGGATGGATTTATGTTTTTCTAAGACTTAGTTCATGTTCAGAGTATGTTTTATTCATTTTATGTTTTATACATCGCAAAACTGCTCTAAGATTTCATATTTGTAGCCTATATTTATTTACAATTTTAAAAGTTTTGTGTTAATTATCAATAACAACGTGAGAGAAAAGCTGAATAAATGCATCGTTTAACTAAAAAAATAATCATTTGAATAATCGTGAATTCAATATTGACCAAAAATAATCGTGATAATGACTTTTTCCATAATCGAGCAGCTCTACTATATATGCAAATTTTTGTCATTTCTATTTAATTTTTAGTACATGACTCATGACAACAAGAGACATTTTAAAATTTTGACATAAGAACGTAATTTTTTTTTTTTCTTTTTTGGTCAGCACAAAAATAATCAAATCAAAATAGTTAAATCTTAAATATGGTAATATATTTTGACTGGTACATGCATTAATTACAAAAAGTAAGTTAGTTATATATGTGCAAAATAAATAAATAAATAAAAGTGTAGAAACCTGGAGTGCATCTTGATACTGGACAGAGGCGGTCATTGCTTCGTCCAGTCTCTCCATCCGCTCCCTCCATGTTCGGTTCAGTCCCTCCCAGGCGGCGTTCATCTAAAACCACAAACCATAAAACTGATTACACAACTACACAGATCCAATTTAATATTCCCGCTGGTGTTGGGTTAATATCTCACCTCATCAATGGTTTTCTTCACTTCGGGTTTCTCAGTTTCTCCACAGGCAAAGATGAGGTCAGCCCCGAGAGTCCTGACAAACTCCAGCTCCTCCCGCAGCCCGTCCGTCTCGGCTTTGATGGCCTGAGCGTGAGAAAGAAAGTACATTTACAAACTGTACACAGACAGAATATTAGTAATGCATTAGTACAAAATGGTATTGTTGTTGAAGTTACCAGTGGCCGCTAACAAAAAAGTGGTGGAGGAAGTACCCAAGTAAAAGTACAGATACCAGAGCAAAGAAATAAAAATGTGAAAGTATCACATAAGAAAATATACTGAAATACTACGTATGTAACGATATCCAACTGTTTCGGTAGGATATTATCACGATATGCATCTCACGGTACGATATTTATTGCAATATTTTGGAGAGGCTGATATAATTGAACACTTTTTTGCTTTTAAAATACTTTAACAAGGTTTTGGTGTGAATTATTTCCATCATAATGCCAAGAATTCAAGTAAAAAACATGTTTTTTCATGTTTTTTGCACTGAAATGAATCATGGGATATGTAGTTTCCTATGTTTATAAGCTGTTGCTACTATAAAAAAAGCATTTAAGCAAAAGAACTTTTAATTCGATATATTGTGACTGCCCACGATATTATTGTGAGACATCTGACGATACGATATCACCATATTTCGGCTATTGTTACATCCCTATTAAGTAGATATACATTAAAGTACTAGCAGTAGTAGTTTAAAAATATACTTAAAGAGTAAAAAGTAAAAGTATTTTGTGCAGATTTTGAGATCTAATAACGCTTCAGCTGTGCTGATTTTGATAAAGATGTCACTGTTTTTTTACTAGCTACTTTGCTTTGTATATTTTTCTTTGCTCAAATTACAAATATTTAAAAAAATAAACCCCTCAGCCTTTTCAGCAGGTCTCAAACCATTATAAAAACATATTTTACTGATCAGTCCTGTTTAAAAATGAAGTGGAGGACAAAGTACATACACCTGCTCTCAAATATGGTGAAGAAACAGTAAAAAGTATCCACTGTAAATGTACTGAAGTAAAGTGCAGATACCTAAAATGTATACTTAAGTACAGTACTTCACTTCTTTTACTTTGTCACATCCCACAGTACGGTATTAAACTTCTAACTATCTTGCACTTATTCAGTCTGAGGTGTTGACCCTCAAACTTGAGTGTAGATTCACGTAGACACACTCCAGTTTATAGTGCAGTTTTGAGCACATTTCACCATTTAAAGGTATAATATTTTGCTTTGAATGGTCATTGGCATGGTAACAGTGCTAATTTTTCATCACTCTCCATGGATAAATTTGCCCCACAAACCTCTGCTGCTTCTATCTGCTGTTTGATGAGGGACGGGTCGACTCCGGGGTCTTCCAGCTCCCTCACGATGTCCTGGGAGTCTCGGAGCGTGCTGAGCAGAGCCGCCACGTCAGACCAGAACTTCCCGGCCAGATCCAGCACGTCGTTGAGTTTGGACTCGCGCTCCTCTGCACGCTGACGAATCTCATCCCACAGAGAGCGCAGCCGGAGCAGACGAGAACGCACAGCTGAGAAGGAGAGGAGATTTTAGTGGATAAATCGAAAATAGACGGCGAAAATAAACGTAAAGATGCACCGTGTAAATTTTCTAGACTGTGTCTGTCTGTTATTGCTTTGCCTGGAATGTCCCACAGTATGGCATTACACTTACCTATTTCCATGGAAACAAGCAGATGACAACACTAAGCCATGTTACAGGTTACATTTGAACCTCAAAAAATGGAATAGATGCAAAATATAAGTATAATGCCATACTGTGGAACATTCTAGGCCAGAGGTGGGCAAACTTTTTGACTCGTGGGCCACAAAGGGTTCTAAAATTTCACGGAAGGGCTGGACCAGGAGCAGATGGATGGAGTTTTTTGGTCATCCACCTCATAAGAGAAAAAAACAACATGGGATATGTAGAAAATGTGCTTGAATTTCAATTGAAAATCATTTCAAAGCATTACAACTTTCACTATTAAAGTTTGGCGGGCCAGATCAAAAAGATTAAAGGGCCGCATTTGGACCCCGGGCCGTAGTTTGCCCACCCCTCTTTTAAGCAAATAAGGCCTGTGCATAGAGTAAAGCAGGCTCACTCTCTGCAAATTTGTTAATAATTTGAACATTGGCTACTGTAATAAGGGCAGTAAATTAAAAATGTAGTAGTAGTAGTAGTAGTACAGAGTTATTATATAAGAATACTAAAACATATTTCTCTACACTCCTCAGTAACTGTTCCTGATCACGTTGAGTCTTTCTGGTTCTTACCCTGGGCGGCAGGATCGTCGTGAGCTGCCCGTCCAATCAGCTCTTCTCCTCGGGCGCACAGAGCAGAGAAACTGGGCAGGAGTTTGTCCAGCTCCAGGCCCTGGGCTCGGTGCTCCGACAGCTGCTCCCGGATCTTCTCCACCTCAGCGGCCACAGGTGGGGGCTGTCTGAGCCTCTGCACGGCCCCCTCCAGGGTCTCCAGCAGAGGGTCCATCTTATCGTGGAACTGAGGGGAGGGATGGAGGAGGTTAGAGACAAGATAATATTCTGATAAACTAATACAATTACAGGAAATGGCAAAAAAACAATATTGAAGAGGGGTTCTTTTCTTTTAAATGACAAATTTGATGATTTATCATTTTAAAGGTCGCTACACTACAACTGCAGAAAAAGTACATAGAAAATAAAGCTGAAGCCTACATAATTTAAAAACATCTTAACTAGAAATCTGCCAAATGTCCTTCTTTTTGGCTATGGCTCAAAGATATGGTGGTATTTCATTCACATTAAGGGGATGTACTGATGTACTGGTTTTTCCAGGTATGACAATACTTTATTTCTTATTTTTCTCATTTGCAGGTGTTGCCAATTTGAATGTGCCAGTACCTGCTGTTATTTTTGTAATTTTGGAATATTTAATATTTAATTGGTGTATGTATTTAATATTTAAATGTACGTGGTTAGGGTTCCTATTATAATTTTTTGTACAGGTATATTGTAGATGCTTGTATTTTATGCAGTTTTATTACACTGTGCATGTGCAATTGGAGAAAAAATTTAAAAAAAACTGGGACAACTTAACTGTATATTGTGTATTATATTTTATATTGTCATTGTATTTTCTCTGTTAGTGTTCCTAATAAAAAAATATTTGGGTAAAAAAAAGGCTTTTTGCCAAAATGTTATTTAAAAATTTAAAAAAGGTTTTGGACATCGATCATCTGAGTGTGCTATGCATTTTTTCACTTTTATCTTGCTGCTCCTTGCATTGGCATCTCTACAAGAATTTTGGTGTGAATTTTCTGTTTCATTTGAAAAAAAAAAAAAAAAAGTCTCACATGGAAAATACATTTTCAACTGATGATTTGATAAAAAAAAAAAATAAATAATAATAATAATATAATAATAAAAATAATAATTTATAAGACTGTAACTAATACAAAAATATTATTAAAAGTACAATGAAATGTATCAATTTAAATACACATGCTGAGAGTTCATGAAATCAATGCCAGATCGTGTCATGCAGTCGTAATAACCCAGAGTGCTCAGTGTTACCGTGGTGAGTGTTGCCGTGGTGACTCTTACCTCTACGAGCTGGTGATGCAGTGAGCAGTGACCAATGGAGAGAATGGAGGTGGACACACACACAGCACATCCACAATCAGTGAAGATGCGTTAGGGCGGGGGGTTAAAGATGAGAGACAGGTAAAGTCATGAGGTGAGGTGGAGGTTAGGCGGAGGTGGAGGTGAGGGGCGGGGTTAGGTGGAGATGGGGCGGGGTTAGGTGGGGTGAAGGGTGAGAGGTGGAGGTGAGACAAGGAAATAAACATGTTTGAATGGGACAGGAGGAGGGCGGAGAAACAAAATCATGAGTTAAACCAAATTACATGCGTACAACAAAAACAGTGCCACACATTTTCTAGCAGTGCTGAGATGGAGCAAAAATCACAACAAGATTTAAATACAGTGTTTCGCATTAACAGAGGAGAATATGGTGGCCCACTATAGTCAAAAAATAACTTTGGCTTCACAGAATAACACTTTGTTGCTGAATTTTCATAAACTAGGGATGCACAGGTCCAGCTTTTCTAGTTTTGATACCTATATTGATACTATGACTTCACCTATCTGCTGTACAGACTGAAAATGACAATTATCTCTTTAATTTAAAACAGATCCAATTGTGTCATGTAACTTTATTTATTATCTAAAAAATGACCACAGAACCACTTAATATGAATTAAATTGAATTAAAGTTCAAACGTTATGAGATAATTTTAGGGTAAACTCAGGATGGAAGATAATTTGTTCCATTTTGAATTTTAAATACCGCTGAATTTCTCACTTTGAAAAGAACTGAATTATTTTTATTCTGAATTTTAGCTGCTGAAATTTTAAATATACTTTTTCAATTTAGCACAGATATTTTCAAATCAAATTCAAACATTAGAAACAAAGATCCAAGATGCCAAGACAGAAGCAATCAATCATGAGTGAGTGAGGACAGAGGTTATTTCCTATTGGACGTTCTCATCTGTGGGCGGAGTTTACACGTAAGAAATAAAAGAGATAAGGTTTTGATGAGGCTAATTCTGACCAATCAGATCTCTTCACTGCACCATTTCCCTTTTGTTACTAAGTTAGATCAGATCACTTTGGATCGATTGCTACGGCCTTGGCATCTTGGAGCTTTCCTGCTAATTTTTATCACTGCGAATTTTACACACTAAAATTCAAAATAAAAATTTCACCTTTAATATACAGCACAAATATATTGAAGCCCTCATAATCAACAGTTAAAATTCAAACACTTTGAAAATGTACACTTAAAATCTCAACAACTCAAATTCAGAATAAAAATAATTCAAACATGTTTGAATGAAATTCAACGGCATTTAAAATTCTAAATCTGATTAAATAAATTATCTTCCATAATCAGCCTGTAAATAGTCTTATTAAATCAAATTAAAGGCCGAATCACAAAATTAAACCAATATTATGGAACCGATTCAGTTAATTTTTCTGTATCGGTGCTGATATGTGATACCAGTACTAGTATCGGTATCGGTGCATCTCTCCTAAACATATAAAAGTTACTATAGTGGGCAAAAAGGACTGCTATAAGATAAAATATAGGCAATATGATCCATAAATTATATAAAATGTAATTATTCAAATACAAATGATCAATGCCACCAGTCTCCCCAAAATCAATGTGAAACACTTCAATGTCTATGAATCAAAAAGAACACGGTGCAGTATAAATAAAGCAATATTTTCAAACATTTATGGAAATTAGGTCAAATCCAAAAAATACCAACATTCTCAGGTAGCAAATCTATAATAACTGCTGTTTTGAGATTTATATAATATAATTCTTGCTATATTAACAATTAGTTGCCATGTTTGATTTTAAATAAGTGTTTCAACTTTTACAAATTTGGAAAAAAGTTATGAAAAAGTTGAAAAAATATGTGACATTAAGTAAGCGATGGCGTTATTGGGCTGCCACACGCATAGTCAGAGAATGCAAGCTCGCATGTTAATACGCATAAGTCATTCTGAATTTGAACTTGTGAAACTAAACTAAATGAAAAAAAAATGATCATAAATATTCAGTAAGATTATCAAATGTAGTTATTTATACAGCAGTTGCTAGGGCAGATTTGAGATTTTGCACGGAGCTCTCCAGGCCGCCGTCTCTCTTTGGTAAAACAACTTCTCCATAAATTTCCCATTTGGATGCAGTGCAGTTACCAGAAACACACACACACACACAGCCCCATGCCGCTCGTAAATCAAACCAAATTTCTGTCCTGAGTCTGAGAAGCCAACATTAACTAGAGCTGCTATAAACAGACTGGGGCCAAACAACCTTTAGAAATAATTTATCAGTCTGCAGCGAGGCACAAATGGACGTCATTATGTCAATTTATGCACAATATCCCAGTCTGAAGTGAAACGCATTTGGACAAGAGCTATAATTACTAATTTGGTTCCTGGTTTTGGAGGCGGATTGGTTGGCGCAGACGGAAAATGTTTTGGGATATTTCAAACTTCTTCTTTGCAGAGTTAAAGGTGCGCTCTGTAACTTTTTGGCTGGGGCTCCGTCACCTGCTTGGATATGTAAATGGATATTGCTCTGCCTGGAAAGTTCCACAGTGTGACATAAACAGCTCTACTTTAGATTTATTCAATTACAGGTGGTTTTATAGCTCAAAAATACCTAGAAAAACAGGTATTCTGGCTGTGAGTGGGGTTGTCACTTGGTTTGATAGAAAGGTTTAAAGGGACAGTCCAGAATTTTGGACATAGGGCCTCATTTCCTAGTGAGCCAGAGTGTTTCGAGATGTGTGGAGACACTTTTTAAAATATTCCATCCAGTTCTTGTATTTGCAGAGGTCGCTGGTGCTAGACTAGTGCATGTCAATGGCCATAGATGGCCTGACACTAAAAACCGTCTTACCCACTCCACAAAACACCCGCAGTAAATCTATTATTACACCAGACTGTCGATGTAAATGTCTGTGTTGATAGAATAATGTTTGAAATAAAAATAACCTTGCATCGCTTTAATCGTCGCATGTTTCTCATATATCCATATGCCGCTGCTGCTGCTCAGACATAAATCCTTCAAATGCAAGGTTGGTTTTACTTCTAAAATTATTTTATAGACAAAAACATTTACATCGACAGTCTGGAGTAATAATAGATTTGCTTCGGGTGTTTTGTGGAGTGGGTAAAACTGTTTTTAGTGGCAGGATAACTATGGCCATTGACATGCACTAGCCTAGCATCAGCGACCTCTGCAAATACAAGGACTGGACGGAATATTTAAAAAAGCATCTCCACACGTCTCCAACACTCTGGCTCACTAGGAAATGAAGCCCCTATGTCCAAAATTCCGGACTGTCCCTTTAATATGATATTGTGAAACATTCCAGACAAAGCAATAACTATTTGACGGAGAAAAGTTATACAATGCCGCATTAAACTTCTTGATATCAATGAGGTAAGTGTTCAAAAGTGTTCAATTTGAGGCCTCTTGAATTGGTAAATGTAGGACTAAAAATCATTAAAAATGACTACTTTGGTGCAGATATTTGAGATTTGGTACTAAACACTAAAAAGTCTAAAACTAAACACTAAAAGCCTGGTGGGCCCTGAGCATAGACTGTATAAATAAATGGACATAAATAATATGCTTGCCACTGTGTTCCAATTAGGAAGTGAGCATGGGCACGCTTTTGGCTCCATCTACTCTGGCTCCAATTCATTTTGTATTGAAAAAACATCGCCCCTCTCTCTGTAACTGCTGCTGTCAGGTTCCTCATTTTGGTCTTAAAATGTTCGTATTAACCCTCTATACATGATCCTGGGGTTTATTTTGCTATTTTGTGAAACTGGAATTGCAAGTCTCAGTGAGCTTCATTTGACTGAAGCCACTGAAGCATTTGAAAGTTACTTGTAAACTACTAACCCAACCCTAAATGCTAAAAACTGAAATAATTTAGCAGGGAAGTGATAGAAAATATTGTTTAATTTCTCAGCCATACCTGTGCAGACTGGGAGACCGCTTCGTCCAGTGTAGTAGCGCGACCTTTGACCTCCTCTTTGATGGCGATGTAGCGTCTTTCAGCCTCGTTGTAGCGCTGAGTTACGGTTTCTCCATCGTGAAGGCTGAGCTCTGCCAGCTGAGGCCCAATCTTCAGCAGCTTGTCTATGTGAGGTTTGTGTTCGGCAATGGACTCGCGAAGCAACTAGAAATAAAACAGATTTGAGTAAGTCAGTCAGTAGATTTAAATATTGAAAAAGAAAGACTACAATAGGAGCCACAGCAGACTTTCCAACTACTCGTAATCACTCATGCACCAATTTCATACCAGTGTCTTGCCAAAAGGACACAATGACAGATCTTGGTCCGAGCAGAAACTGATCCTCTGACCTTCGACCGCTGCTCTAACCATGTGTTCTGTGTGTTCTACAGTATGTGCTCCTCACCCTCATGTGGTCCTGCTGTTGTCTCAGTGCATCAGTGTCTATGGCCGGAGGAGGCAGCTGTGAGATCAGAGCCTCTGTGTCTCCGAGCCACGGCTCCAGCTCCTCGTACGTCTCCCAGAACCGGGCCACCAGGACCTGGGCTTGTTCCAGAGCCGAGAACCGCTCACTGTGGCTCTGACTGACCGCCTCGTACCGCAGGCTCAGAGAGTCTGTCTTCACCTGGAGAAGGAATATAATGCAATGAATTAAAAATAACAATGATAATAAATAATACAACGCTTTTTTGTTTTTTGGACACTCAAAGATGCTTCACGAGTAGGAAGCAACTGGGGGAAAAAAATAACATATAAAACCAAATAGTTTGTAATTCTCTGATTGTGTTAGAATTCAGGAATTAGGTCAACTTACTTTTCCCAACAGCCTGCAATCAATAAAAGTCATCTATTTTGTCTTTAATATACTCGCCAATTTACATCTACTTTTTGGAAACAACAAATTTAACACTCACTAGGTTGACAGGAAGACACATAAATGGGGTTAAATATTTCATAATGAATAAATAAATACAACTACAGCAGCACACAAATCACATTATATCTTTTTAGACACATTTATCATATAAGGCTGCACACAAAACAGATTTCCAGAAACCGTCATCCATAAATCCGTATGATGTGTCTCACCATGAGCGCGTCCCTCTGTGCATCACTGCAAGTCTCCAGGATGTCTTGGCGTGAGGACAGGAGCTGGTCCACTGTATCTTTGTGTCTGATGATGTCGATGTTAAAGGCTCTCTGCACCTGCAGCTGGGCCCCGGTCACATCAGGCTCCAGGCTCAGAGGCCCCAGAGACGACAGTTTACGCTCCGTCTCCCCAACCCAGGCCAGCTCTGCATCTACGGCCTCCTCGTACTGGACACACAAGGGGACAGAGGTCAAATATTTTTATAATATGAAGCACAAAAAACAACTTTTCAACATTTATCAACTGAGCTTGCTTAATTCTAGTAAATTAAAACATTTCTGAAAGGAAATTTGTGTAGATAAAGCAATGAAGCAGAAATGAAAATGCATTAAAATAATTCATTTATGGTTAAATATCAATTTCAAAACACATTTATATAGCAATGAAAATATTGGGTATTTTGTAAAATTGTAAATGGATTTGTTAGAATGTTGTTACTTAATAATTTATACAGCCTCCTCGTATTGGACAAACAAGTGGACAGAGAGATCAGACATTTTTCTTATGTAAAACACAAGAAACAAGCTTTTCTACATTTTTTCTACACAGCTTGGTTAATTCTGGTAATTTAAAACATTTCTGAGAGGAATATTATGTAGATAAAACAGAAATATAGTTCATATAGTTATATACTGTATAGGTGTATAAATGAATGTTGAATTTTGTATTTTCAATATATATGCAACACCAAATTCTCTGTAGTTACAGTACCTGTTGTGACCTCTGGATGGCGGCCTGCACCAGCTGTACCCTCTGTGTGATGGTGTCGTCAGCCTGTCTGTAGCGCTGGTTTGCGTCGGCCACGAGTCGGTCCAGCCCCTCTCTGGCTCTCCAGGGCACCAGGTCTAAAAGAGCACTGCCCACCTCATTCACAGTGTCCAGAACCAGACGCTTCTCTGCAGAAACCTTCTTCAACTCCTACGGCACAGAAATACAAAAAGTTATTTACAAGTAGAAGAGGGAGATATACTCAGTTTTGTTGTTGTTTTTGTCTGGAATGTTTCACAGTATGGTAAAAGCTTTCTGTCTTCATGGAGACCAAACCAGACCAAGTTACAGGTCAGATCTGTGGAGAGGCGACCCCGCTCAGTCAGAATACTTGCTTTTCTAGGTATTTTTGAGTTATAAAATCAAATGCAGTTGACTAAATGTAAAGTAGAGCTGTTTAATGCCATACTGTGGAACATTCCAGGCAGAGCAATGACATATCCATAGAAACAAACAGGTGACTGACCCTCAACCAAAAACATACACATTGCAGCTTTAAGTAAAAGTACTGAAGTACCTGTAGTAAAAGTAAAAAGTCTTCACTTTAAACTGCGCTTAAATAAAGTACAGATGCCTATTTTTTTTTTTTTTTTTTTTTTTTTATACTTTACTACTTGTACTTCATTATGTTCCACTACTGGACATATCAAAAAGAAATGGATAATATCACAATTGCTGTTTGGGAGCAAAAATAAAGTATATTGTTTTTAAAAATATGTATTGTAATATGTATAATAAATATTCTTCATTATGTGTTATATCTAAACCTCAACCAAGACATTAGCAGGCACATTTGAGCAGATAATGCAATGAATAAAAAAAAAAGATAAAACATAATTCATTAACAAACAAATAAAAAAAAATCAAGATATTCATTTTTCTGTCAGATAAAACTGTCAAAGCCTGGAAGATAAACAATTTTCTTGTTAATGCATTTTTTCTTGTTAACTGCAGAGACGTGACTAAACGTAAGTGAAATGCCATTTTGAAGGGAAATTACAGGGCAGCCCAGACCCAGAGTGTACAGACCATTCTTGAATACTGTGAAATTTTGGTTTCTATGGTAACTTGGTTGAAAGTAGGACAGTGGTTGCTCTGAAATATCAAGTGCATCCAAAGTAGACATTTTGAAAAGATAAATAATGTGAGGTATTTACTTCTGGACATCACATTTTCTGTAAAAACTAAAAGCAATTCAAGTTTTATACTTGTATTCCTGTAATTTATTAAAAAACTACATGTTTGAGAATTACAAAAACTGTTTTAAGAAGATGTAGAATTTTCAATAAAGTGCTAAATAGATAATTAGAGAAAAGATAAGGGTCCAGCACTGAGCCTTGAGGTACACCAGTTGAAAAAGACGAGTTGAATGGAGAAAGAAAAAGCCGTAATTAACTGTAATTAACAAACTATAATTTGGAAAAGTGCATGAAATGTTCCATAGTAAAGCATTAATTCATCCATGTCCATCAAGATAGGCATAAATTAAACAAGGCCTAGATACAGGTCAGCTCTGTGGAGAGGCGTCTTAGTGTATCGTAAAAATACCTGTTTTGCATGGTATTTTTAAGCAGTAAAAACACCTATAATGGGATAACTAAACATTCCAGGTAAAATAATCACATCCCCATGGAAACAAGCAGGTTTTGGACCCTCTATCACAAAAATGATCATCACAGTTAAAGGTGTGTCACTGTGTAACTTGTTAAACTACCTTCTGCCTCTCCTGATAGGCCGGCGTGGCGTCTGGCTCGGTGTTGTTAAGCTCCGCCTCCACAGAGTCGAGCCACTGGTTGAGGTCGTCGTTGGCGCTGGAGAACCGCGTGGCTAACTGCAGCGCCTGCTCCAGAGTCCGCAGGGCTTTGCTGCTGCCCGCCGTCATCTCAGCGTATCGAGATTTTATCCCATCCAACTTCTCCTGGATCAGAAGCACCTCCTCGCCTACAAGACACCAAAAATACAAGATCAGTACTCAAAACAGAACAATTACAAACTATTAAATGTGATTACTTACTTACTGGCCAAAAACTATTGATTATATTGGTGCTCATTGGTGGACTAATGTAATGTAATGTAAAAAAGTAAGGGATTATGGTACAACTTTATAAAAACTAAAGCTACGTTCAGACTGCAGGGCTTAATTTTCATTTCGGATTTATTCGCGAGGTTGTTCACATTTCCAATTAAATGTGACTTGTATGTGATCTCCAGTGTGAACTTTAAATGTCCCAAAAGTGTCCCTCATGCACATTGGAGGACACGATGATGACACACAGCGAGCGTCCTCAGTGTTTACGGAAGTCGCCTAAACATGGCGAACATGTACAGCTATTAGTTTTAAGGCGAAGATTGAGAAAGAGAAGGACAAGGTTTTTGTATATCAGTAATTTTGTCCAGCGTTTAAAGAAGAAATGTCCCTTGAGTCGTACAAAAAAAGTCAGTCGTTCCATTGAATATATTTTTTTCTATAATGTCTAGCCACTGATTCACTGACGGCGGGTCCTTTTAAAGCCAGCTTCTTGTTATTGCTTTTTTCAATGCCAATGTCAGAATCTTAAAAAGGTTCCGTCCGCTTTTTCGATCACCTCTCAAGGCAGAAGGGCTAATAAAAATATTTTTAGGTCCTTGGGGACAACATAAATCAAGATCGTATTGTTTTTTTCAAACACAAATGGAAAAACAGAATGATTTTATTTTGTACATGTCCAAAAAATATGAAAGTGATTTGTGTTTGAGTGGCCACACTGTCTGCCAGCAACAACAATCAAACCCTTGTACTCTGGCAGTAATTTGAGGAGTAATAAATAATCAAAGAATCTTATAAGACACTTCCACCAAAATTCCCTCCAGCTTTTGGAGCTAGTTGTTGTTTGTTGTGTGCTGCACATCAAAAGTCAATAACCCTCTGATAAAACAATATTCAGCTCCTCTTCCCATTTAGATTTAAAACAAAATCTGTTGTTACTACGAGTGTAACGATATCTAAGTCTCGTGATACGATATCGTCACAGTATGAACCTCACGGTATGATATTTATTGCGATATCATGGGAAAGCTCATGAAATGATGGGGAGGCTCACGATTAGGGATGTAACAATATTAAAATCTCTCGGGACGATATTTTCACGATATACATCTCACAGACAGATATTTATTGCGATATTTTGTGGAGGCTAAACAGCTAAAACTCTTAATATACTACTTTTTCCTCTTAAAATGCCTTGACAAGACTTAATCCAAAGATCTAAGACTTAAAAGTGCTTAGAACTGTTATTTCTTCTTCTGAAATGGAGCAAAGGATCATGGTCTATGTAGTTCCCTCTGTCTTTTTTTTTTTTTTTAGCTATTCCTGCACCATGACTCTTAAGTTAAGCAAAGAGACTTGAAATTCGATATATTGTGATGGTCCTCAATATTATTGAGAGACTTGACGATACGATATCACGATATTTTGGTTATTGCTACATCCCTAGTTGTTCCCCTTTCGTTTTCGCAGCCCTTTATAAAGTTTCGAGACAGATTTGCTGCGCAGAATTTTATAAGCGTCTGTAAATACTTTTAGCAGACTAATATTACTGATATCATCTTGGCTTAAACAACAGTACTATTTTTAACACTTTTTGGCACGGTTTGGTTAAAGTTCACATGTTTAATTGATTGAAAATGAAAATAAAAAATGCACATGACTTTATTGACTAGTGAAACTGGGTCAAAACTTAATATTATCAAAGGCAAAACCAAGACTAACCCATGTTTAAAGCAGAACGTAATAAGGGAAATCATGAATAAAATCTGCCTTTTGTCCATTTTTCTTTCCAAAAACAGCACACTTTTGTAAAATGGAGAACTCCGTGTAGTTGCGATACATTATTTTCTTGTGATATCGATTATTGTGTCAGTCAATATCGATATTTTTGCAATATACTGCGCCCGTCTAATTTCTATCATTGCACAAAAGAAGCCTGTAGTATTTATTTTGATCTGTAAAATCCCCTTAAGTGCTTCATCACTCACAACCACATCATTGGTCCAAATATTTAAGTTCTCACAGCGCAGTGGGGTGGTCATGGGGTAGACCAACAATCGGCCCTTTATTAGAAGAAGCAGGCGTGTGGTTTGTGTCCGACATGAAGCAGAGAAACCAGATGTTGATTTCTGGTGAGCCACAGATAGAAAAATGTGTTTCTCGGGTTAACAGCGATTTTCTGTCCAAGTCTGGCTCATTGGTTTTAGTGTGTGTAAATATTCTCAGAGGGATCAGTGAAAGTGTGGTGGTGTTAATGTAATAGGAGGATATGAGAGGCTTACCTGTGGTTTGTTTGAGTAAAGCCTGTCCGTTTTTGATCGCCTGGTCCACGGTTTTCTTTCGGCTCACGATTTCCTCATTCAGCGCCTGCAAATAGAAAATTACAGTTTAATAGGAGCATCTAAACAAACATTTCTCTCTTGAAAACTTTTCCACCGTGATGTTAAAAGCAAGGAGCAGCGTAAATTCATGTTGTTGCTTTATACTCCAAAACAAAAAACTGAATTATAGGACAATGAAAACCCAATCTTACAAGGAAAATCAGAACTCTTAATTGAATTCCAGTGGGCAGACTATAAATTTGTATGGGAAAAACAACAGTAGATTTGTACGCAGTGGTGGAAGAAACACTTGATTTTGTTAATTACGTAAAAGTAAAAGTAGCACATGAAAAAATCTACTCAATAATAATTATTAAGAGTAAAAACCAAGGCTATGTTCAGACTGCAGCTGGAAGTGAACCAAATCAGATTTTTTCACCCCTATGTGACCTGTATTTGATCTTTTAATGTCTGAACGACACAGATCCGATTTTTTCAAATACGACCCAGGCCACTTGGATATGTGCTCCTAAAACCGATACATATCCGATCTTTTGACATGCGAGTTTAGTCTGAACGGTCAGGTCGCATTCATCCCACCTACACGTCAGGCTCGGAGTCTCGTCATTGGAGGGAAAGCGAGGTTAGAGAGTTTATTAAGATTTGTGGGGATCGCTGTATTCAGGCCAAATTGGAGGGGTCTTATCAGAACTGGGTGGTTTTTGAAATGATTGCCAAAGGAATGACTTCATGGGTCTCGCTCCAATGTCAACTAAAAATAAAGAGCCTGCGAGCCAAATACAAGGAGAATGAAATCTCAAACAAATGAAGCGGCCGTGGACGTGTAACCTGTCCATTTTACGAAGAGCTGGACCGTATTTTGGGAGACAAGAATAGACTATAATAGAAAGCCTTTTTTATCATTATAATATAGTATAATGAAATTCAGAGCTGTTCCATCAAAGTGCAAGAATTAATTAATTAATAAGTAAAACAAATTAACAGTTCTCATTAAGTATGGTGACAGCTTTGGAGAAGAAGCCGACCCTGAGTCTGTTGGTCCAAGCTGGAATTGACCTGAAGCGCCTGCCAGAAGGCAACAGGTTTAGGCGACTTCTGTAAACACTGAGCACGCTCGCTGTGTGTGACGTAGTCGTGTCGTCCAATGCTCATGCGGGACACTTTTAGGGCATTTAAAGTTCACACTGGAGATCACATACAAGTCGCGTTTAATGGGAAATGTGAACAACCTCGCAAAAAAGTCTAATTTCACAAAAAAATCTGAATTGAGCATTAAGCCCTGCAGTCTGAACATGACCTAAAAGTATTTCACGCAGATTTTGACATCTATTAAAACTTTAAATATAAAGATGTAGATAAAGATATGTATTTGACAACTAAACAACAACAACTGAATCAATTTTTTTGTTGTTTTTCCTTGTATATTTTTGTTCTCTCAAACTATGAACGTGTTAAAAATAAACTGCTCAGTCTTTTCAGCAGGTCTCAAACTATAATAATAAATACTTTTACTCATCAGTCCTGTTCAAAAACATAGTGGAGTACAAATAAATGCTCTCAAACGTAGTGAAGTAAAAATACACATACTTTTTTTTTTTTTAAACTTATGTACAGTGCTTTACTACTTTTACTTTGTTACGTTCCACCACTGTCTGGATGCAAAATTTTGGTCGGCAAGCGCTGGTTTTAGTCACATGATGTAATTTTGACCACAGGAAAGATAGAACGTTTGTATATTGAATAAAAAAGGAAAGACGAACAGTTAATTCTTCATCTTATAAAAGCGATTGTTGTTATTTGTCCCCTGTATACTCTCTGAAATGGTTAGTTTGATTGCTTTATGGTTAGTTCGAGCTCTTCATCCCCACACATGTCCATACCAGTGCGTGCTTGTGCTGCTCGTTCAGCTGCTCTGGTTGGTAACTCTGCACTGAGACCTGCCCCAGCCTCTGAGCCACTTCGGCCAGCCAGTTCATCACCTCCACCTCGTCCTCCCCAAACAGCTCCGCATTGGCCAGAGCCTGATCCAGCATGGCCGCCCTCCTCGCGCACCAGTCGGCGAGCTCGGAGTGACCCGAACGCACCGCCCCCACGCGCTCGTTCAGCCAGTCGCGGTCGGCCTGGCTGCTCAGGGGGGTCAGGCTCTGGCCCAGGGACTCGAGGTGGTCCACGTCGGTTCCGTGTGAGGACACTTCCTCTTGGAGAGCCTGGGAGGTGTGTGTGAGTGTGCCGTGTGCGAAAGGGCGGAGTGTGGAGAAAAGTGAGACAAAAACAAAAATAAAACACACAAGGATGAAAACTTAAAAACGTGCAAACGACAAGTGAATGAATTAAAATAATAAAGCATAACATAAAAATGAATAATGAACTTAAAGTAAATAATATGAGACAAAACCAAGAAGTGTCATGGGATCTGGACTTGTAATGTTGTTTTTTGTCTCTAAAATTTATCAGTTTCATTTTTCTTTTCATTTAAAGGACCCATATGATGCTATTTTCTGATCTATGTTATAATGTTTCTGCATCAAAAACAGACCTGGAGTTGTTTTGTTTCATTCACACATGTTTAACACAAACCCTGCATATTTAGGCTAAGTTCTTCTCTCAAACGGAAAGCACTCTGTTCCACCTTGTGATATCATGGGGTAATACGGGAGGAGCTCCATCGTGTTTCTAAACTCCACAAACCTTCACTAGAATCAGTCAGATAATTTCAGCCAATCTCATCTAACCACATTAACAGGTTGATGTTAATGTGAAAACTACAGCTTGACACATTGGTGTAGTGGGGATTTTTTATGTGGGGGTACATGATTCATGACGCAACCTAGTTGGATTAAAAAAAACAACAACTCACTTTCAGTACAAACAAAGGCACCAGTCCAGTAAACATCAGTAATATTTGATGTTTTGTTTTTTGTTTTTACTCAAAATGATGCAGAATCATGTTATTAACATTAACACTGTTTATAATCACCTATACAGAACATAAATCACAGACTCCAGCACATGAACCAGGACTGAACCAGGATTAATCTTGGACTTGAGAGCAAGAGAGCCTGTAGAACAGAGTGTCCGCAAAGCCCGATCAGGGGACGGCTGCGCTTGTCCTTTCGCTCGTGGTCACCTGACGGTCTACGCAGGTGCACCTCCGGGTCTGACCCGAAATTAAGTTCTGGTTCAGTTCTGGTTTAATCCTGGTTTAGACCCAGTTTTGACATGATTTAGTCCTGGTTCAGTCCTGGTTCAGGTCACTATAGGACAGTACAGCAGATATCATGAGCTTATGCAGTTTGTTTTCACCATTGCCAGTTTGACATTAAAGTTGTAGACTATTTTATATTTGTTATTTTTTTATATCTCACGTCGAGAGAAGTGGGAGGACGGCGAACCCCCACGCACCACGCCCACTACACCCCTGGCTTGACATCACAAGGTGGAGCAGAGCATTTTGAGCTTTGTAGATGTAGACAGAGTAATAATAAAGGGTTACTCAAACATGTGCATGAAACAAAACACAATTCCAGGTCTGTTTTTGAGGAGGTAACAACATTATAACATGGCATAAAACTCACAGGAATCAATTTTGTGTAATATATAGACCTTTAAATACAGAATAAAAATAGCAAATTTGACTAAAATGGACGATATTGGATACAAATATGGTTCAAAATTTACCCAGGATAGGAAAATTAATTTATAAAGGTAATTTTTGCATTTGATCATTCTTACAGCCAATCAAAACAATAAAAATTGCATTAATTCAAGCCTGTACAGTGACATTAACCAAATATGACTAAGCATGAGTGTACTGGAAAAGTAATAATTTCATAATGTGATGTAGTTTGAAAACTGAGGTGGGGATAAAACATAAAATAATGATGCACATGCAAAACTTAAATGAACTGAAATAAAACAGAAACGCAGTGACAGGAGCTGGTCTTGTCTTGTTGTAACTAAATAAAACATGGGTGCTCTGGTTTTGATTTATTCGTCAATTTGTGTAACCTCTGATATTACAAATAAACACCCCCAATTATGCTGTCACCTCGGGCATTTGGGTGTTTTGTGGCTCAGTTACGAAAACGTCTAAAACAGTGTTAATGTCAGAGGAGAGATCGACGGTTGCTTTTATGGGAGTGTTTGTAAAAGATTTGTCACTTTGCAGGCACACACAACTGGAGCTGTTGTTTTGGAGATGTTCAAAAGCAGCTGTTCAAGCCCCAGCCCATTACCTCATTCTCATTCTCATCATGTTTTTGATATTATGCTAACTCACACAAAGTTGACCAGACTATTAAAACCAGGCTTAAAACTTAATACTCAGTAATGCAGTGACACTATGCATAAGATATACCGTATTTTTCGGACTATGAGGCGCACCGGATGTGAATGTGCATTATGAAGTTTATTTTTTATTTCCTACAAGGAGAACTCAAGTATACATTGAGCAATTATGTGTTTAATGCAGCTTTACGCACATTTGTTTACGTTTTACAGAAACTAATCTTAAAACCACATGGCTCATTTGCATAAACTATAAGCGCTGAAAAAAACATCCCGCTCCTTGTGCATTGATGCGGTCAACTTCTGTCGGACTAAAGGACACGACTCCGCGAGGGTCCTGACTAGAGTAGCCGTAATGCTCCGACAGTCCATCAAGCAGTGCGGTTTTGTAGTTTACCAAAGGCGCACTAGAACATTCTGACAGATTTTTGAGCACCGTGTACCACATAAAATCAGTTTGAGGTCAGTAAACACAACCAGAATTAATACATAAGGAGCAACTGATTTTAAAGCGCACTGTTGATTTTTGAGAAAATTAAAAATTAAGTGTGCCTTATAGTCCGAAAAATACAGTATATAAGTTTTATTTTTGAGTTTTTGCATGTTTTTATATTGTGTTGTTTGTATTGGAAAGCACTTTATGTGTTGTAAAGGGCTCTATACAGATAAATAAATATTGATTGATTGACTTGGTTATTTTGAGTGATGTCAGGACATGTTTCACTAATTTATGAAATTTAATACTCACGCTAAAAACACTGATCTATATCATATGCAGAATTTAACCGTTTGTATTTCATTACACCATAAGGAAATAACCACGGATACATTTTCCACGGTTGCCACTCTTTTTCACTTGTGTTGTTGTTGTGTGAAAGAGACTAAATTTCTATGACTTTTCCAAAACTTTCATTGAATTTACAAAATGACATGACTTTTCCAGGCCTGGATAATGACATTTTCAATTTTCCTGACTTTTCTAGGATTTTCATGACCGTAGGAACCCTGATTTTCTTTTTACTTATGTCATTAAAATTTCCTGGAGGAGCACTGCTCTGTCTGAGGCTTTATTTTAACACAAGTTAAAATAAGAAGTTAAGAAGTCCCTCTCAAATAACATTACAGTCAAATTAAACACCTAAACAGGACAATGAAAGGTAGCATTAATAATAGATTCCTGAAAAAAAAATCATGTTTTGGGGGTTTCAGAGCATCTTAAAATATTTTGGCTGTGTTTGCTTATCTAAATGTTTACATTGTGTCACCATAGTAACTGCTGAACGTCCCACCACTGAGATTCATGCAGAACACCCCCAGCAAACAGCCGGATCATGTCTCCTGGAACTGGATGTTGGTTACTGTAGGGTTAGGGCTACCAGGGCATTGATCTGTCTAGCCTTTATTACACCTCACTGATGTTACGTCCCCCAAATCTCCTGTTAGTTCCACCAGAGCCAGTACCTTGTGTTTGGCGATTTGCTGTGTTATTTTGGCCGTCTGGGTTCCCATGGGTTCAGCGGAGCTCAGGCGTCGCTCTGTGGCACTGAGCCATTCACCCAGAGGCTCCAGAGCTTCGTGAAACTCAAGCGCCAAAACCTGCAGCTCCTCCAACTGCCTCTGCCTACGGGGAAACAGAGAAACACACAATGTAAGACACGATATCAACAATGTGAGTCAAGTTTGTGGGGTTTTTATTACTTTCAGAGGTGGATAGTGCTCAGTTACATTTAATTGAGTAACGATTTAACAAAATTGTACTTTTCTAGCAGCATACTTGAGTAATACTACTTATTTATTATTAGAATTTATTATGACCTTTTAGTCTCATGTTTAGTGCAGTACTATAACTTTGGTAAAAGTTTTGATATCTCTTCCCACTGCAAGTAAATCCTCAAGTGACATAAGTTTTAAGTTAACAATATGAAATGATTCGAACATTTGTGTTTCTTGCACCGCTCCTTCACATGTAATGTATGGCAAAAGGAGAAATTCAATTTGTCAACTGGACAAAAGTTTATTTTGTTAACTAAGTTTCACAGCTCATCTAAACTGCTTCATCAGTTCTGGTCAGACGCTGGTGAACACTTCCTTATATCTGCCTGCAGGGAGGAGCTAACTACACTGAAACTACTCTGTAACTAACACATCTACTTGTTTACAGTTTCTATTAGTTAATTAGACCTATTGAACTTGCAGTGAGTATGGGCTCATTAGGAGAATAATTCAGGGCCATAATGGAGCTTTCACACTTCTGGACCTGATCTGGCTATCCCTGTTCTCTTCGTTTTGATTTAGTAAGTAAGTAAGTAAGTCTTTATTTATATAGCGCTTTCACAGACATTTTCTGTCCCCAAAGACGCTTTACACAGCATTATTCAGCACTATTCATTCAGCATTCATTCATACAGCATTATTCATTCACTCTAAACCCTGATGATGGTAAGCTACTATTGTAGCCACAGCTGCCCTGGGGCTCACTGACAGAGGCGCGGCTGCCATGCCACTCGGCGCCATCGGTCCCTCCGACCACCACCAGCACTCACACACACACCACTTTCATACTAGGCAATGTGGGAAGAAGTGTCTTGCCTAAGGACACAATGATTGAATTGATTGTATTTTAACTGACCATGACTATCAACTGTTTATGGAGACCTATGTAGCATGTTTTGGGTTGGGGGAAACCGGAGCACCCGGAGGAAACCCATCCAGACACGGGGAGAAACATGCAAACTCCACACAGAAAGGCCTGGGCGACCCGGGGATCGAACCCAGAACCTTCTTGCTGTGAGGCATGAGTGCTAGCCACTCAGCCACCGTGTTTTGATTTAGGTTTGAGGATGGAATTGTAACTAGGGGAAAAATGGTGTCTGAGTCCCCCATTTCTAGATGGTTTGCCTTTCCTAACAAAAATAGCTTACTAACTCTCCTCTCAAACCAATTCTTTTCTTCTCTTGCAAAGATCTGTACCTCACTGTCCTCAAAGGAGTGGCCTGAGGCTTTTAGATGGAGATGTACAGCAGACTGAGGTCCTGTGTTGTTCTCTCGTCTGTGTTGGTACATCCTCTTGTGAAGTGTCTGTAGCGTTCACTGCAGTCTTCACTACACTGAATGGAGCACATTGCTTAGTTTGTGGCTCGGTGTTTTGTCCTTTGGATGGACCAGTTTCTGTCTTAAAGTGTTTGTAGGTTTGAAATAGACTGGGATCTCATGTTCTGTTTTTCAGAAACACCAGCCATGTAAGGAATAGCTACCCCCTTTCTCCTGGATTCTATGTAAGGAATAGTATATTATTTAATGTTTTATCCTTTATAACTTCAAATTATAAATCAGATGTTATGTCCCGAAGTGTAGTCTTTAAGTTACACTTTTTGACGTTGCATTGGTCTTATCTTAATCATTCAAAAAGATTCTTGTTAATTTATGATATGGTTGTGCATTATCCATTTTAATTGAGGAAATTCAGAAATCCAAGGACAAAAGTTGTTAGACTAGACCCATATTCATTTGTTTGATAACAAAACTCCTTTACTTTTTCTTTGTCTCATAATTTGGCACAAGGCACGAGCACGAGCTGTGCAGTTGGATTTTTCTAATTGACAATGCTGTGGTTTAGGCTTATTAATGTGGAAATGTATACAGTTTTTTTTATCTTAATTTATGGTAATTAAAAATTTTATTTATATTTATGTTTAAATATAAAGAATTTGAGTACTACTACATCTTCTATGCTAACGGCAACTTATATTAACATAGTAGTTATTTTAAGTCTTTATCCTTGTTTGATGTTATCTTTACCCCTGCTGGTTTTCCAATTAACACATGGGGGAAGGAGTCTTCACTAATGAAACACTTAAATTACATTATTAAGCAGACACCCTAACCACAGAAATCTGCACACGTGGTAATTAAATATTGACTGGAGCAGACAAAACCACAATTTCCTTTTAGTTGGTTTCTATGGTGATGGAGAAAGAAGCTTTAGGGCACAGATTAAGCCTGCATTCGTTAACCCGGGCTCACATACCTGCCGCTGGCCTTGTCCATGAGGCTGGTCCATCTCTGGTCCAGACTCTGGAGCTGGGTCTGGATCTTGTCCCGGTCTGGAGCGTCGGCGGTGGCTGCGATTCTCTCTCCCTCGGCCCGGATCATGTCCACTGTGGGTTTGCGGTCGTCCAAGAGTCTCTGTAACAACTAGAAAACAGAAAGAAAAGCAGAAAGAGGTTTAGTCTACATATTAGATAGTGGTTATTTTTGAGCAAAACATGACAAATACACACAATCCTATCTTTAATTTTTGAGAGATTAAACAATTACATGGTACTGGATAATTGTGGCAAACCAATGTAATGAGAAATACTAGTAGTAATTAGGGATGCACGGATACCGATACTGGTGTCGCATATCAATACCAGACTGAAAATGTTGTTGGATTGAGTATCGGTTCCACAAAATTGGTTCAGACTTTTAATTCGACCTTTAAATCGATGTAATAAGATATTTACAGACAAATTTTTGTCCTAGAACGTCTCATAATGTTTAAACTTTAATTGACATGAAATTCTTCAGTTGTCAGGATAAATAATAGTTGCATAACACAACTGAATCCCTTGTGTAATAAGTTAACTGTGTTTTAAGGAAATAAGTGTAATTTCTGTCTCTACACTGATATCGGTGAATATCGGATAGCGCCAAATACTTAGAGTGAAAGTATCAATATAGATATCAGAACTGAAGAAGCTGGATTGGTGCATTCCCAGTAGTAATAGTATTTAGTGGTTACAAAAAGGTAGTCATAAAAGTAGAGGTTTTCAGTATTAACATAGCATAATTTCCGGAAAAACACATTTGTACACATATACTCATGCACCTGTCTATAAGCCGCAGGTGTCCACGTTGAGATACTTACATAGAAAGATGGTACACAAGATTTTTAACATTCTTTATTAAATACTGGTATGAGCTTTTTCCGAACAGTGCTTGTCAGTAACACTACAGTATTACGACAGAATTATCAGATGTCGTCACTTCGCTTCACTCTACTGCGCATGTCTCCTGCAAGAGCCACTGTCCTGTTTGGGATCATGTCAGGAAAGAGGTTGGAGACCCCTGGTTTAATGTGTGAGAATAAAGTAGCATCTTATAGTCCGGAAATTATGGTATGTACAATCTATTTTAGTACTAGCATGGATTTGTAGACACCTATGGACTTTACTAGTAAGGACATACATAACAAATTACATTATACATATAAGGAAATGCCATTTTCCTCATTAATATAATCTTAATAGCATCTTGAATAACCACATCCTATATATTCAGTCCCCTCTCTCCATTAAGTTCAGTTTTCTTCCTGTTGAAACCATGTCTATCTGTTCTTCTTTGAAACCCTCTCAGCTCAGGAATGCACTCTCTCTTCAGTTACTATTTTCTTATCAAAGCGGTGACACCGTTTTTGCTGGGAGGATGTAAACACGTTTGATTGATCTGTCTTCACCAGAACTGCTCTCCTCCGCTCACAATCACAGGAAGCTCGTGTAAGATAAACAGGAGAGGTGAGAGAGTGCCCCGAGACAATGTAGATCCAGGAAAAACGTATCTAAGGAACCTGAACTGGACTAAAGATGTAACATGAGAGTCTTAAAAGGAATTAGGACCTAACTCAGAAATCTATTTTTACTTTTTAACGCTGCACTGTGTCACAATTGCTCGTCTCCATGGAGATGTTGGTGAAATATTGCAGCTATGTTAGATATCAGGATGGTGAAGTTACTTAAAAGTGCACTGTGTTACTGTTCTGGTGGAAGGTCATCTGCCCGTCTCCGTGGAAATGGTACTGCAGAAATGTCACAGAGTACGGCATTAAACATCTACCTCCCTAGAGTCAAGCTGGCGACGTTACTAGGCCAAGTTACAGGTCAGATCTGTGGATATTTGATGCTGTTCTCAGTAAGAATGCATGTTTTTCAGTACAATAAAATCCCTATAATTGAATAAATGCAAGTAATATATACATTTAATGCAATACTGTGGGACATTTTAGGCAAAGCAATAAAATGGGTCCATGGGTACAAGCAGGTGATGGATCCTAGTCCCAAAAAGTTCCACAATGCACCTTTAAAGACGGCGTATTTTACTTCTACCTGCTAACACATAAACATATTTAGATCACCTTTTATTGTTTGCTATATTCTCCTAAAACAACGTATTAACATGTTTTATAAGTTTCTCTCTCTATTTTTTTGATTCTTCTCTCACTTTGCTCCTCATGCTAATCCCCTCCCCCCCAGAGCGCTACCACAACACAATCTGCGTGCATCCCACTAATGAAACTACTGCACATCGTGTCAGGTTTGTCAAGTTGTTGTGTGCAGTTTTGCATCCTGCCTTTGTTTATTTGTGGAGTATTGTCGTGTGAAAGCGCGGGTGATGTAGGCTTGTGAATCTTAAGCCCCATTACCATGGCGATGTTGTTGCTTTGTCAGAAATGGTTCACAGTATGCCATTAAACCTATCTAGCATTTGTACTATTATTATGCCAGGTGTTTTAGTGTTAAAAGAAAAAAAAAACCTTGGGGACAAAAAAAAAGCATTCTTATTGTGAGTGGAGCTCGCCTCTCTACAGATCAGACCTGTAACTTGCCACCTGCTTGTTTCCATGGGGATAGATACTTCATTGATCCCAAAAGGAAATTCAAGATAGACAAGTTTAATGCCATACAGTGGGATCTAGGCAAAGCAATAACATCTCCATAAAGACAAGTAAGTGGTGGAAAAGTTACACAGTGCACCTTTAATTATGTAAAGTTTGTATATATAAATAAATCAATTGCATGTTGTTAGTCGTTAAGGTTAAGGTGTAGTAGTGCTTTTCAGTATAAAGTACCTTCTGTTCCTGTATTTGTGCCTTGACCACGCGGTACTCTGCAGACGGAGGCTTCTGATTGGCCACCAGCTCCTCTGTGTCGCTGAGCCAACTGAGCAGCGGCTCCAGAGCATCCTGAAACTTCCCACAATGCAACAGGGCCTCCTGCAGCTGGGCAATGCGCTCTGCCACCTGAGGACAGAGGGGGCAGCGGTGAGCAGGAAAGTCTTACTTAAAAACATTGTTCTCAATTGTACATTTTTTTTATATATGCATTAGGAATGTAAAGATATCCAAATCTCTCGGTACGATACTTATTGCGATATTTTGGAGAGACTCATATAATTGTAGCTAGAAACATTTTTTGCTTTTAAAATACCTTGACAAGACTTTGGTGTGAATTATTTCCATCATAATCCCAAGAATTCAAGTAAAAAACATATATCTTCACTGAAATGAATCATGGGATATGTAGTTTCTGATGTTTATAAGTGTTGGCTACTATAAAACAAGGCATTTAAGCAAAGGAACTTGTGATTCAATATATTGGGACAGCCCACGATACTATTGTGAGACTTTCGACGATACAGTATCACAATATTTCGGTTATTGTTACATCCCTAATATGTATGGTCTGAAAAGGAAAGAAAAAATACAAAATGGAGTAAAACAATCATTCAATATGAGCGTTCATTTAGGGTTGTCCACCTGAAAAAGAGACTTTAATGGTATTTAAAAAGTGAAAATCAGCACACCTGTTGTAGTTCCAAGTAAATCAGATCTTTATGGTTAGATTGTGATAAAACAAAGCTAGAATTAAAGTCTAACTTCGGTAACAGAGCTTCAGACAGAGCAGTATCTCCACTTAGCTATACTAAAGGTGTCAGTAAGTTATTATTTTTGGTAAAGGTTCAGTTTGTCTTCTGAAAACATTAGGCTATAAGCTATCATGGTGTCCTTTATGCCAACCAATCTAATATTAGGACTGTGCAATGAATTAAACTGTAAAACAGATCGAGATTCAGTCATTTGTAATTATCAAAAACATGCTTGGATCTTTTTAATGGAAAGGTTCATGCTGTAAAAATGATCTTTCATACTACAGAGTGCCTTGGATCTCCTCTCCTCTGACTGCTGTACACATCTTTTTACTTCAGTTTTTTTTTTTTATATATATTGTTTATGTTCTGGAAATAAATATTGGAAGCCATTTTATTAAGACAAAAGGAAACTGAATAGAAAATATGAAGGGACACATCATTTTGGACACTCAGACTTGGTGAAATATTGTCGTTTCATGTGATATCACGACAACCGTAGTTCCGTACCCTTTTGTTGAGTGAGTTCCATCTGAGGTTGGTGGTCTCCAGGTCGTGCTCCAGTCCCTGCGTGTCGGTGTGTTTGGCGGCGCTCTGGATCAGGCCCTGTCCCACCGCGTTCACGTGCTGCAACTTCGGCTGGATACTGTCCACCTGCTCCCGCTCCACCGCCTGGAACAAAAGAGACACGAAATATTGTAGAATAAGAGGGTTTTTATTCATTGTTTTCCATTGTTTCATTCTAACATTACAGTGGTACAGACGATGCTTATTTGAATCATTTTTGAATACATATTTTGTGGGTCGTCACTTTTCAGACTAAACAGTGAACTGATGAACTGTAATTACCATTCTTGTGTATTATTGATGTATTCTGTTTGCGTTTTTTCTATAATCAATTAATTTTGAACTTACTGCTTTCAATTCAAAAAGAATAGTTGAAGATTTTCTTACGTTATAACGCTGTTTCTTCATCAAAAATATACCTGGAGCTGTGTTTTGTTTCATTATCCCATGTTTAGCACACAAACCCTGCATATTTAGGTTGAAACTCCACACACCTTCACTAGAATCATTTGGATCATTTCAGCCCTGGAATTACCAGTCTCTACTGAACAAGACATTACAAGGTAGAACAGAGCATTTTGAGCTTTGGAGATGTAGACAGATAATAATAAAGGCTTACGCAAACATGAGTGAATGAAACAAAACACAACTCCAGGTAAGTTTTCGCTGCGGTAACAACATTATAACATGCTTTAAATCTCATAACACTCAATTTTGTGTAATATAAGACCTTAAAAGTTAAAGTCTCTTTATATTTATGATCATACAACAAGCAAAAAGCGTCATTTTTAATGCCAATTTATTGCTCAGTTTGTTTTCAAGTAGACCAAAATAGACTAGGGGCATCTCCTCTATCAAAGGAAAATACTATATTATTTATTCACCTTTATAATCTTAGTAAGAGACACAGGTGAGTAGGAGTGTAAGAAAAAAATCTATTCAGTGATACTTCATTGCACAATTCTCAAATAGATTCAAAGTGGATCCGAATCAATTTTTTAAATAACATTTTTCACAAATCATATCATCAAATCATTATTTACGTTCACTGTTCTCATGATTTCAAAACATTTAATACATTATATCTCATACAGCTGTGTTCTCTTGGAAGGTTTAGTTGACTGTATTATTAGAAGTAATTATTGATAAATCACAATATGTCATCCATTGTTTTAGTATCGTGATATATCGAATCGTGACATGCATATCCTGATAGATATTGTATCGTCAGACTCAAGGTAATGCACACCCCTACAGATGAGAGGACACTGCTTCAATCTACACCAAAATGCAGAATTACTATCATTTCTTTGTGATAAAATGATCCATAATGATGGCATGTAAATATCATTAGCAAAGTAACTAGCAATAAAGTAAAAATGTCTAAAAATACAGTTTGCAGTTAAACAATTATGCATACCTATGTGTAAAGACCTAAAACTATAACAGCACAGTAGTACAGTTTTACTACAAAGACCTTGATTCACAGTTCTAATAAAAATGATCCATGACAAAGATAAAAATACAGTTTGAGGTTAAAAAATATATGTCCCTCTATAGTAAAGACCTACTCAACTCAAAGCTATAACAACACAGAGTACTACAGTTGGACCAGTTTCACTACAAAGATCTTGATTCACTGTTCCATTAACGAGGTGGGAGATGGGAGCCTCCTCAGACAGAGCGGTGGGGAGGGGCAGACGGAGGATTAGAGGATTACACAGTTTGGGGCCTGACTGGAAAAAGCTGAGTCGACAAAACTTAATCACAAATTTAAACAGTCCCAGCGGTAGTACATCACCACACACACACACACACACACACACGTTTATGAAGAGGGCGGAGGGGCCGGGGCCGTTTTGGATCCGCAATAGAGCCAGACTCCCGACAATAAAGACTAAACACACCTTCTCTGGCAGCAGACCAAAAACACACAGCGAGACGAGTATGAAACCCTTAAAGAAACATTCAAAAGCAGCTCGCATATAGTGATGTGCAAAAATACAGAAATATCGATATATCGTATAGCTTAATGTGATGATACAGTATCGATATCATAGGCCGCTGTATCGATACATCGCCAAGAGTATTTTTTTGGTACATTTTACTGAATTATTTTCTTACAGAGCTACAATTTTGCTGCTCGTTCAGACGAAGGAAACTCGTTTTTATGCAACAAATTTGACATTTTCACTGTTTTGATGAGTAAAATGGGCGTGTTTCTTATTTACTTTGCACAAGAAGTGGTTTAACAAAGACTTTTAGTATCACAGCCATGATATTGCCTTTATTTTTTATTGAATCGTATCGAATTGATTTGAAATATATCGTATCAATTCCAAAAATGGACTGTATCGAGGTATGTATCATATCGTGGCCTAAGTATAGAGATATGTATCGTACCATGGCCTGTGTATCGAGATATGTATCGTGTCGTGGCCTATGTATCGAGATATGTATTGTATCATGGCCTATGTATCAAGGTATGTATTGTATAGGCAACTTCTTAATGATACCCAGCCTTAATCGTAAAAAAAACAATCTATCTCCATGGACACCAGATCCAGGTATTTTTCTTTGCAATAAAATGCCGGTAACTGAATAAATGCAAGTTCCTCCAAAAAGAAAAATTACACCATACATCTTTAAAAGCCTACCAGATCTCTCCATTCACTGTAGTCTCCAAATTGACCTCATTATGGCTTTAATTTGATCTATATCCATGGAGACAAGCAGGTGAAACTGCTAGGCCAAGTTACAAGTCAGATCTATGGAGAGACTATTTCGTTCACAGTAAGAATGCTTGTTTTTCCAAATATTTTGGGGCAATAAATGAGTTGAAAATGAATAAATGAAAGATAATTTACAGTTTAAAGCCATAGTGTGACATTCTGGGCAAAGCAATAACATGTCTGAAACTGATACCAGACTCAGCGCAGAAAAGTTGCATAGTTTACCTTTTACGTAAGCCGTAATGTATTGGAAGAACCTCAAATAACCATGAATACCCCAGAAATTGCACCATAAAACCTTGCCAATTTGCAAATCCAACAATGAACTACCAATTAACATAGTAATCAAGAAGTCTCCCAGTTTTTTCTGTCTTTCCAGTATTCCTCAAACCGGTGCGTATCACTCTGGCCCCTCTAAATCCCGGAGAGATGGAGCTGGGGTCAAATGACATTAAACTACTGAGGCTTGACATTCAGAGAGAAGCAGGACTCTCCCGGAGGAGTGAAGCCGGACCAGCCAAAACCCAAACCAGAAACATGACCAGAAACACAACCAGACCTCCATCTCCCTGTCTCTCTTGTTTTCTATCTCTTTCTCGCATCGCTGTGTCTCAAAATAACAGATTTTCGGGACCTTAATGAAACTTTGCAGTGACATCGTGCTGTGGATCTACGGTACAACGGATTTAAACAACACATTTTTAGGAGCCTGTGATCAGTTCGAGCACTCATGGTCCTGGTTAGGAGTTTGATTGATGGATCTACACCGCAAAAACTAAAATCTAGCCAAGTTTAGATCGCTTGAATTAAGAAAGGTTTGACGAGTGAAATGATCTGCCAGTGGAACAAGACTTTTTGTACTTAAAATATGAAAATACATCTTGTCTTGCTACACTTAAAATAAGAAAAACAACAACTCTGTGCACTTAAAATAAGAAACTAAATGAAATATTGCTTGAATTAAGAAAAACACACTTATTTCATTGGGAGATAATTTTACTTGTCAAGTTGAATCTACTCAAATAAAGTAAAATCTTCTTAATTTAAGTCATTTAAACTTATTTAGGTACAGTTTTTTTTGCAGTGTACTAAAATGTGAGAGTCAAAAACTGTTTGTGTTGCATTTTTGTAAGAAAAGCACTCTGTAAATAAAGTTTAATTGATTGAACTAAGTCGGCTAATTGTGTTAAAATAAAACTCAGATTAAATCAATTCTGACAGAGAAGTGCTTTCAGTTAGCGTCACACCCACAGGGAAAGATGATATCAGCTGTAATCAGTGCAGAAATTTTGATGCAAGTATTACAAAACTACAAGAAAGAAGGAGAAAGGGAAATGCAAAGAGATTGAGAGGGAGAATGAAAGAAAAACAAAGAGAGGTGTTAAAAACTATAGAAAACCGCTTTTTTTTTTTTTTTAAGAAATTGTGAGCTTTCAAAACAAAACATGCTTATACTAGAGGTGTAATGATATCCAAGTCTTACGATACGATAGCGTCACAGTATGAGCCTCACGGTACGATATTTATTGAGATATTTTAAGGAGGTTAAACAGAACTGTACTTCTTAAAACGCCTTGACAAGACTTAATCCAAAGAACTAAGACTTAAAAATGCTTAGAACTGTTATTTCTCCATGTAATCTGCACCGAAATGGAGCAAAGGATCATGGTCTATGTAGTTCACTCTGTTTTTTAGGCTATTGTTGCACCATAACTCTTAATTTAAGCAAAAAGACTTGTAATTCGATATATTGTGATGGTCCACGATATTATTGTGAGAACTTTGACGATAAGATATCCCGATATTTTGGTTATTGTTACATCCCATGCTTATATTGTATTTTAATTTACTCAAATTTAATAAATATGGCAAAAAATACTAGATCTTAAAGAGCTTCTATCATACTACAGAGACATTTTCCAACGCAAATAAACGTACTGTAAAAATGACACCTTAAAAGCAGCGCTAAAACATGCAGTGATAATCAGGCTGGTGGCTCTATACCAAGAAAGAGTCTAATTAACCGACTTCACACATCAGCTCTTTTCATTTAGTAGATGTAGGCCGCGCAATTTTCTCCTTTTATTTGAACACAACTGACGTCTGCTTCGGTGAGCTTTGTTTTCATAGATTATAGTGATACAGAGCCAAAAATGTGCCCAAGTCAGTGTATTTTTGTATTCGGGAGTGTTCCAAAAATGACAATGAAAGCTAATTTTAACAAAGACAAGACATTTCCATTTCATTTATTTTACTTTAACAATTGCAGCCTTCACGATTCGCTCATTAAGACCATTCAAGCATTGATTTCTATAACTAATTAGGTTCCATCTTGCAGCTAAAATGGTGAATATTAAATTTACAAAGTGTATT